ACTAAAGTTTATTTGTGGCCCCCAAATCAGTACTTACGGCACTTTCGTGATTAATTGCAGACACGCACCCCGTGGAGTAGCCTGCCGGGTGCACGTTACCCCCTGCGGTCGAACAAGGTGACATTCCAGTTCTGCCTTGTCTCAGCTCATGCAGTACACGAGTGTCCTTCGGTGGTCTACTTAGTGCCTGTGTCGTGCGTTTTTGTGCTTTGTGTTGGTGCTTTTGCTGTTTAAAACCACCCCAAGTTGTTAAGCATCTGACTTCAGCTCAGGTCGTGATCTGGAGGTCTCGGAGTTCAAGCCCCGCGTCGGGCTCTGTGCTGACAGCTCAGAGCCTGGAGCTGCTTCCGATTCTGTGTCTCCCTCTCTCTCTGCCCCTCCCCTGCTTGTGTTCCGTCTCTCTGTCTCTCTCAAAAAAATGAATAAACATTAAAAAAAACTTAAAAAAGCAAACAAACATAACTATCACAAATAAACTGGGAAGGGACCATTAAGATGCTGCTCTAGGACCCCAGGCCAGCAGGGGAGGTGGCCCTGGGCGGGGGGCTGTCTGTCGCGTCGCCCAGGTGAGTGGTTCAGCATCGGGGCTGCCTCTCTCCCCTAAGACTGTCCCCCTGGGTTCAAGGGTCCTGAAGACCTGCTGCCCGGGCAGCCTGATGGCAGAGGGGACAGGGACGGAGAGAGTGGGGAGCCACCGCCACGAGAGGCGGGACGTTTGGGGACATCGGCCCGTCTGCTGCCTGTCGCCGCAGGCAGAAACCTGGTAGCCGCCTGCCTCCGGCAGGTCCGGAGACCTGTCCCTGGTTTTGTGTGATCGGCGGTTTGTTTTCACTTCCCGGAACCGCCCACCTGTCACGTCGCATCCATGCTCCCTGCTCCCAGTTTGGGGCTGTTATGAATGAAGCGTCTAGGAATATCTGTGCCCGAGTGTTCGCGTAGACACGTGCTTCGTCTCCCTTGGGTGGGTACCTTGGAAGGGCTCAGTCGTTGGCAAATGCGTGCTTGTAAGAATCTGCCAGTTTTCCTAAGCGGGGTTTTTGTAAGTACCAACCCTGCCCTCTTAAAAACAACAGCTCGGTCCTTGTCATGAACCTTTGATGGCCGGTGGGATCAGCCTTTCCCCACATTTTTGTTAACCGGTTATGCTGCCTGTTTGGGTTTTGCCCACGTAGCTGTTAAGGTCTTGGCCTTTTTCTTTCCATCACTTCTGTGATGGGAGTTTTTTCTATATTACGGACGTTTGTCACTTAACTGCAGATTTCTCTCTCCTGGGTTTTGTGTCGATTTTAGTTTTGCTTCTCTGGGACAGGAGGGCAGCTCTTGACCTTTGATTTCTCTTCCTGCTTTTTGACTTTGAGCGTTCGGGCTCCACATGGGGGGGGGGTGTTCCACCGCGGTGTCGCCCGTGGCTGGTGGTTCTCTGACTGGAGCCCCCTCCCGCCTCCTGGTGTCCGAGTGAGGTGTGTGTGGCTCTCCCTGACAGTTTGAGTTTCTTCCTGTGAGGTTCGTCCAGTTGGTACTAAAGTGGTAACGCTAACGATTATGTCTGTGCGGTATTCCACGGCGTAGGGCGAGCTTCGAAGCCCCTTATTGGGTTCAGAGCTCGGTGCTGGGTCTCCTAACTCACACCTGCCGGGCGCCTGGCGGCAGGCTGGGTGAGGGGCAGCCGTCTCTTCTTCTCTCCCGTTGCACCTGCTCAGTGCACACAGTAGGCCCACCCGCCCCATGCACTCCACGTGGCTCCACTGAGGGGTCATCGCTTCGGGCCTTGGGGAGCCCAGTGAGTGGGGCTTCCGCCCAGAATGCCGTGAGGCATCCAGGGCTTCTTTGGAAGGTCTTTGTTCAGTCGGGGGCCTGTGGCTGCCAGAAGGTGGCTTGGGCTTCAGGTGGAGGGTCCTGGCTGGGCCACTTCCCTGCTGTGGGCCCCCGGGCAAGTTGTCCACCAGGCTGAGCCTGTGACGTTGGGATGAGCCATTTATTTTGCCAGCATTTATTGAGCGCCTGCTGTATACCCAGTACTTTTCTGCGCTCTGAGATCTGGTGGTGACCAAGACAAAGTCCCGACTCCTGGGATGCTTTCATACAGTGGGGGACAGACAGCAGCCAGAAGTGCCGACACCGGGGTGATATGGTTACAGTGCAGTTAAATAAGATGGTTCAGGAAGAACCCTGAAGGCACGTTATGAATACTGGGTCAGGAGAGGCTCTGTGACGAGGCAGCATTTCAGGCGTAACCGGAATGCAGTGAGGAGCTGCCTGGACAGGGGTCTCATGGCAGAGAGGTGGAGGCCCGGGCTGGTGCCGGTGGCTGGGGCGGGGCATGGGCAGACTGTCACCACTGTCACCAAGGGTTTGCGGGAACTCCAGGTTTTGTTCTGAATTCCATGGGAAGGTTCTAAGGGGGGCAGGAAAAGGTCCTTAAATAAAGATCCCAGGGCTGTGGTGTGGAGGGTGGGCTGTTAGGAGGTGGGGGGAGCGCGGGTGGCAGCTGGTGTGTCCCAGCAGAGGTGGTGCTCCCTGTGGGGAGGGTGCGTGGCACCCACAGGCTTGCTGCCGGCCACCTGGCTGCTGGGGTTTGGTGGGGGGCATTTGTGTGCCGGGCCCAGCACTGTCCCCTCTGAGAGGTTTGGGTGCGGCCGGCAGAGAGTGGGGGGCCCTGGAAGGGTGGCCTTTGGCGTGAGCCTTCCTAGGGGGCGTTAAGTACTGGCTGCCGTCTGTTTCGGGCTCGGGACCTGCAGACTTTACTCTGGGGCCGGGGAGGGGAGGATGAGGCGCGACCAGCGTGTTTCCAGCGCCGTGAAGCAGGGAAACGGGCCCCTTCGCGTGGCCCTCCCACGCACATAAGATAATAGAGGGCAAATTGGTGCTTATCTCGCATCACCGCTGGAACTTTGCTCCTGAAGCCAGAGACCTCGCCCCATCCCAGGAAGCCCCCCGTCCTCTGTGCCCTTTGGCCACAACTGCTGCTCACCAGGCGCTTTGTGCCAAGCATCCCGGGCCTCCGTTCTGCCAGCTTGCCTGGCGTAGTGCGGAGCGCGTGTCAGAGCCTCTGCGCGGGTCCGCGGGGTCTGTGGCCGCGTTTCTTTTTTCTTTTTTTTTTTTTAATGTTTTATTTATTTCTAGGAGAGAGAGAGAGAGAGACAGCGTCAGCAGGGGAGGGTCAGAGAGAGAGGGAGTCACAGACTGAAACAGGCTCCAGGCTCTGAGCTGGCAGTCAGCACAGAGCCCGACGCGGGGCCCGAACCCTCGAACCGCGAGATCATGACCTAAGCGAAAGTCGGACTCTTAACCCACTAAGCCACCCAGGCGCCCCTTTCATCAGTTTCTAACTGTGAACTTGAGCTTGTCCTTGACCCTCATGAGGGTCTGTTTCTTCTCCTGTGCAGTGGGCAGTGAAGACGGCACCGTGATGGTTGAAGGGCTCCTCGCCTACGACCCACAGGTGGCAGGCACGTCACAGATCACAGCCGGTGGCCCGCTCGTCATCACTGACACTGACTGGGTGCCCGGCTCGCTCTGGGTCACTAGCGGGTGGCTTCTGTTAGCACGATGAAAGACCCCCCGCGGAAGGACGCCGACAGACAGCGGCTGCCTCTCTGGCAGGTGGCAGGGTTTGGAGCCCTGAGCCCCGTCCCTCACAGCCAGAGTTGCTTCTGGGGAGCTTTCCAGGGCTGAAGGGTGCCTTTGCCCACCTCTGTAGGGCACCTGCAGTGCTGGCGGTCAGCGTGGTGGGGACTTCAAAGCCGTGGTGACACACAGTGGGCTTGGTTCCACTTGGTGCCGGTGAGCCTGGGGCCAACGGGCAGGCTCCCTGCCCCGGACCCCTGATCAGAAGGCCCCTTCTGCTTTCCTCCCTCCGGGAGCCACGCAGGGTATGGGAGTGGGTGGGCCACAGACTGCGGGCGGCCGGGCACAGGGCAGAGGGCAGGACGGGGGCTGGTTTGGAGCCCGGTTCTTTGGTCTCAGTGTGGCTGAGACGAACAAAGCTGGGGGGTTTCTGCGACTCAGTCTTCCAGAGCCTCGCGGCGGAGCCCGCGGGAGACGGATGGCAGTCCTGTGTCTGGGGAGGGGCCGGCACCTCTCAGGTTCCCCGTGTCCAGGGGTGGGGATGAGGTCCTTCCGGCACCAGAACACCAGGGCTAGGTCACGGTAGTAAAGTATTTTCTGGAGGAGAGAGGAAGGAACCAGCAGTTTAGTCTTTTGAGTTTATGAGAAATGGCCCTGTGACATATCTTGACCTTTGGTCGGGTCTGCCCAGAAAGGGAGGAAGCCCACCGTTGTTGACCACGCTCTGGTGCCGGCTCCCAGGCGGTTCTCGGTGGGTCGACATCTGCTGTGAGGAACCCGGGGACCAGAGAGGCCGAACAGCCTGCCCGCCGTCACTCAGCAAGTGGCAGGACTGGAGCGGAAGCCCGGGTCTTTCCCGCCTGAGCCCGTGGGCTGCTTCTCCTCGTGCGGGAGAGACAATGAGATTCACGTCTCCTGAGGACGTCGTACTCGTGATGAAAGACAGAGGCCCCCCAAGAACAGATCTGTCATGCTAGAAGGCTCCGCCGTGTGCAGGGGTGAGGGAGGGGCGGACGCTTTCCCTGCTTTGTGCCTGAAGCAGGGCTGTTCCTTTAAGTCGGGTTCTCCGTGGGAACCCGGGTGGGGGTGGGGCGGGCTGGCCGAGGGGCCCCCCCCCCCCCCCCCCGGAGCCCAGACAGCGGTGACGCTGCTCTCGTCAGGGCCTCCCTTTCCCTCCGAAGCTGCTGATTCATCCACACGGAGTCGCCGGGGCTCTGGGGCTCTGCTTGGTGGAGGCATCGGGCCTGCGGGGACGCGTCCCCAAGCCCCGGTCCCCTGGCTGGGGTGGGGGTGGCAGTGCGGGAGCTGGGGGCTCCAGAGCTCCAGCAGATTTCCAGGCAGAAGTGCGGGTTGAGGGGGTTGGGAGTGTGGAGAAGTGGGGGGAGACGGGGCTTGGCCTGCCCCTTCTCAGTCTCTCTGGCCTCCCCCTGCAGGGTGCTTCAAGGACGACCGCATCGTCTTCTGGACGTGGATGTTCTCTACCTACTTCATGGAGAAGTGGGCGCCGCGACAGGACGACATGCTCTTCTATGTGCGCCGGAAGCTGGCGTACCTGGGTGGCGAGGGCAGCGTGGACGGGAGGAAGGTGAGCAGCCCCTCCGGCCCCAGCCCAGCATCCCTGCAGGGTCGCTCTTAGCCAGCCGGGCGGGCTTCCCTGCCATCCTCACGCCCATCATCGGGGAAGGCGATGGCTGCTGAGCACCTGCTGGGCGCCAGGAGCCGTGTGAGGCGGCCAGGCACCACGCCAGCAGGTGGTGGGTACTTAGCTTATTGATCTTCACCCTGACCCTGAAAGGGCAGAGATTACATCATGATTGTACCTTTGAGGAAGCAGGTTCAGAGGCGGGGCGATGTGGCCGCATCTCAGAACAGAGGAAAGATTTGACCCCAGCGTCCGGGGTCGTCCCTGGCCACGGGCAGGACGCCCCGGCTCAGATGACGACGAGGGCTGGCAGTTCCGAGCCCTTACCATGCAGCAGACACGTTATCGGTCGTGTCCTCCCTGCCACTGGACGGGTCCAGTGAGGAGACCAAGGGCTCGGAGGTGCGGTGACTCACCTAAGGTGTTTCATCCACTAACTTTAGGTGTGTAGACGAGTTTATAAAACAAACTTCGCATACTTCTTTCTGATTTTCAGAAACGTTACTAGTTTGTAAAATGGTTAAGCACCCTGGGTGCCAAACGTGGTGCCGAACGTGGAAATGCACTGTTTTCCTTTGTGCCCCAGACTGCGGGGGTGATGGAGGCAGGTCTGGAACTCACAGACCCCTAATCCGGGTGTAGCGCCCTCTGACCCCTCGGCCGCGGCCTGTGAGCTGTGGCCCGTGTATCAAGTGCGTGGAGCCCCTTTCCTGCTGTGTGCCGGTGCGCGAGCGTGGTACCTACAGCTCAGGTGTTCTGCACGTGGACAGGCCTGGTGTCTGCCACAAAGAGGACACAGTGACTTGGAAGCCGGCGGCCATAGAGCTGTCCTGGCGGGCCCGTGTGACATGCAGGAAGACCCAGGGTTGGCCCGGGCCCGTGGGGATCCAGCGGGTGCAGCAGCCGGCTGCATACCCGGAAGTGCATCCATATGGCCAGCACAGCACAGTAAATCCAGTGACTGGAAGGGACAGATGTGGTCGGCAGAGCCACTTGGGTGAGATGAGTCTGCAAGGATGGAAAGAGGTTCCCTAGCAGAAGGGACGATGGCCGAGTTGGGGGGCCTGAGGCTGCGTGGAAGCCCCGTGCGTTCAGGTGGCCATCGCTGGTAGCATGCGGCCTGGGTATAGGAAGGTGGGGGGCGGAATGAGGAAGGTGCAGGCCAGATCGTGTGGATGCTGAAGGTCATGGCCAGGAGTTTGGGCTGACCCCTGAAGCTCTGATAAAACGAGGAGAGGGGTGTGGTCAGAATTCCACTTAGCAGACTCTGGGGCAGTAGGTGGGAGGGAGGGCTGGAGAGTTGGAACAGAAACAAGGGAGAGGGCAGGGTGCAGGGGAGCAGCCAGCAGGTGGGGGGCAGGGAAGGCCAAGGGCGTGGGCTCAACCAGCAGGGCTTCGGGTGACTGAAGGTGGGTCAGGTCCCTGGCTTGGGCCCAGGTGAGTACGGTGCCCTGACCGGAGGGGGCGGAGTTGAGTGTGGGGCAGGTTGAGTGCTGGGGACCCTTGGGGCATCAGACGGCCATGTCTTCTGGTGGCGATCTCCTGTCTGAGACTCAGCAGAGGGGCGAGGGCCAGGCTTGAGGGTCAGGACCACTGGCTCTGAGATGACACCTGGGGCCGTAGGCATGTGTGGGAAGCTAGGGAGACTTTGGGGTGTGACAGAGGGCCTGGGGCTGAGCTCTGAGCTAGCCCGACGCTAGAGGGACCAGCAGGAGACCGTGAGCGGCTCGCCGGAGAGATGGGGGTCCCGGGAGAAGGGGGCACGGCCCGCGGACACACGGGACCTGACGAGAAGGGGGGCAGGGACTTAGTATGGGCACGGGGTGCCCTTTGGGAGGGATGGAGCCTGGCCCAGGGCTCCGCAGCCCCTGGTCGCCACACCTGCCCCGTCGGAGGTGCCGCTGGGAGATCTGCTTTTTCAGCTTTGTCTCCCCGTGACTTCCCACGTGGCTCTGGCAGATCACTTCCTCCCCGGGGCTCGGCCTGCCCTGCGAAGGGGGCTGGGCAGGTGCTCTCTAAGGTTAGGGCCCTCCGACCGCACACACCTGGGAGACTGGTCGTGTGGGATGGTGTGACTGCACCGCCCTGGGAGAGGGTGGTCAGCACCGAGGGAGCTCCCTGCCCCGCCCCTCCCTGTGGGCTTGCTCTCCCCCCTCAGCACAGCCCAGGGGCGCAGCCTCGCCTGAGAGAAAACTGGAACCCAGGAGCATTCTGCCCAAGGGCAAGCGGCTAGGAGGCCTCAGGGCCTTGGACTCTCGCCTCCAGCCAACGCCCTCCGGCCTGTCGGCCTCTGCTGGGGTTCACATCGCGGACATTGGGAGTCTTTCGTTGTTGCAAAACCTTGGTCTTTCCCCAAAGGCCACCTGCTCCGATCAGAGGCTCTAGGGAGGATCTGAGACTCTCAGCTGGACCTTGAATTTTGGGGCCGGGAGAGGCCCCAGCTCTGGTTGAAGATGGTTTTCTGAGCCCTGGCCAGCCTTGAACGCTCTTGGGAGGCAGGTGGGAGAAAAGAGAGGCCAGGCCTGCACGTTCCCAGGGAGGCCAAGGTGAAGAGGTGGGAAGGGAGGGTTTGGCCCCGGGACTGGGGAGCTAGGGGCAAGAACGCAGGGTCCTGGGCAAACTCTCTGGAAGTCCCGCTGCCCGCATGCTGGAATATTCCACTGAACACTGCAGCGAGCTGTATGCAGAGGCCCCTCCCCCTCAGCACCGGGGCCACAGAAATGACTCAGAAGTGGCCCTGTCCTCGGGGAGCCTGCAGTCTACTGGGACAGACAGACAGCATAACCAGAGACCTAGAGCGGTTGGCGCTGTGGGGGTGGGAAGAACGGGGGGGGGGGGACAGCAGGAGCCCGCAAGAGAAGGCGGTGACATCTGGCCTCAGCGTTGTAGGACAGAGTGAGGGGACCACGGTGGCCCAAGGACAGTCCCACTGGAGGCAGCAGCACGTGGAGTGGGAGGGGGCACCAGGCACCTGCCAGAGTGGGCTGTGTGGTGTCTGTTTGGAGGGCAGGGGTTGGGCGGCGATGTGGGGAGGCCCTGCGGGCCCAGAGGGTGCAGGGTGGGCAGGGAGGGACAGACAGGGAGACCGGACAGTCGTTCCCAGGCAGCCCCTCGGCCCCCACCACTCAGAAGGACAGAAAGGAAGGGGAGCGCTGGGCAGGCGCAGTGCAGGCTCTGCCGGGGCGCCTGCGCACTGCGGCTCTGCGGCAAGCCGGCCGCCTCCCGCCCCCTCCCCATCCTGCTGCAGAGCTGGTACCCGGTCGCCATAGCAACCCTCGGGCTTCCTGCGCTCGCCATGGTGGCGGGTGGCTGGGTGGACAGCCACCTACAGGCAGGTTGGACAGAAGCCGTGTGGGTGGTGGGACGGAGGCTGGGCCCCCCGCGCCCTGCTCAGGGGGGGGTCCCTGGGGCCCACTTCTTGGTCGCCTCGGGGTCGCGTAGCCGGAGGCTGCGCAGCAAAGTGTCTGCGTGAGCGCCTGCCCGCGCAGTGGTGGGGGGAGGGGGGCGCGGAGCCACGGAGGCCACCGCGGGGCTCACCTGTGCCCGTGCCCCGCAGCTGGCCGAGGCCGAGCCCGAGGTGGACGTGGAGGTGTACCGGCGCGACTCCAAGAAGCTGCCCGGCCTCGGCGACCCTGACATTGACTGGGAGGAGAGCGTCTGCCTGAATCTCATCCTGCAGAAGGTACAGGGCGCGGCGGGTGGCAGGGCGGGGGGAGGGCCGTCCGCGGGCCCTGAGGGACAGCAGGCCCCTCCACGCCCGCCACCCCGCGCTCTCTTCCAGCTGGACTACATGGTGACATGTGCTGTGTGCACGCGCGCCGATGGGGGGGACATCCACATCCATAAGAAGAAATCCCAGGTAGGCGCTCCCGGCGCTCGCGGGCCTCCTCCCTGACCTCACTGCCAGTTCAGCCCAGAAACGGCAGCCCCTGGCGGCTCAGTGTCCTGGGGTGGGGGGGACCCCGCGGGGGACCCCGCCCCCTCTTCCTTTCCCTGCTGCCAGAGGTGAAGGAAAGCCACTCAGCTCCTGGGTCCCGGGTCGCCTGCAGGGGGCGCACAGAACCAGGTCGTCCCAGGCGGCTCCTTGCAGAGCGACTTGGGACCGACCTGGCTTTGGCCTGGCCCTGAGCTGTGTGACCACAGTGACCTGTCCCTTGAGTGGCTGTGGGCCTGGGGGCGGGGGGCGGCCTCGCTCAGTCCTCCAAATCTCCCTTTCAGCAAGTGTTTGCGTCCCCCAGTAAACACCCCATGGACAGCAAGGGGGAGGAATCCAAGATCAGCTACCCCAACATCTTCTTCATGATCGACAGCTTCGAGGAGGTGAGCAGTGCGCGCCCGGCCACGGCTCCCCTCAGGGTCCCGGTCAGGGGCGCGACCAGCTGGCCTCCCTGGGGCCTCACGCGCTTGCAGAGGGGCGAGGGCAGCAGGGGTGGGGGGCGGGGGCCGGTCCCAACTCCTACCCCTGTGCCTCCTCCTCTCCCTGGCGCTGGACTTGGGGCCAGTGGGGCTCCCCTAGCCCTGAGCCTGGTTTCTCACCTGTAAGAAGAGCGTCACGATCCTGTGTCCTGCTTACCCATCGGGTCAAGGATCAAACGAGCTCATGGGTGGGAGGACGCGTCATGAACGCCTGTAAAACGGGCTTCCCCGGGCAGGAGTCATTAGTGTCGCCAGGAAAACTCCAAATAAGTGTCTCCGTGTCTTCAGATGCTGGGATGGGGGGGAGGCGGGCTTTGGAAATTTCTGGGCCAGGCTGGGAAAACTGGGACTCACCCGGGCAGCACCGGGTGCACCCTGCCCCCCCCCCCCGGCCCTGCCCAGCTGCTCTCCTCTGAGGTCCCTCCCCCCAGGTGCTTATACTCCCCTACAGGCGGCCAGGACCTCAGGGCGGGTGCTCGGAGAAGGGAGCATGTGCGTCAGGGTCTCGCCTTGACTTCGTGGTGCCCTGAAGCACCTTAGTTAGGCTCGGGGGACTGAGTGCCCTCCCCAGCTCGCAGAGCCCAGATGTGAACCTGAGTCTGTGACCTGGGAGCTGGGTCTGCACACCAGCCCCTGAGCGCTGACAGGATGTGGAGCCCCCATGGGCCCGTCTCCCTGGCTGGCAGCCGCTCTGGGCGCCCCTCAGGGCAGGGGTGGGGCGGCTGGGGCTGGTGCCCAAAGCCAGAGGGAAGGACCTGCTCGACAGCGGGACGGACAGACTGTGCTGTTCAACACCATGTGAGGGCGAGCGGTGAGGGCCATCGCCCTCCCAGTGGCCAGCGAGTGGTGGGTCCCCTTCCTGTCCCAGGGTCACTGTCAAGAGCCTCCCCTGGGCAGAAGCCGCCCCGCGCTGTGCTGTGGGGGCGGGGCTGCGGCCATCTGTGCCCCCTGCTGGAGGGGAGCTTCTGAGCAGCCCTCCTGGTGCCCCGGCGTGGGGGGTGGGGGCCTGGAAGGCTGGCTGCGGTTTGGGAGGCGGGCAGCCGACACTTGTCCCCATCTCCTCCTCTGTGCCCCATCCCAGGTGTTCAGCGACATGACAGTGGGCGAAGGAGAGATGGTCTGTGTGGAGCTGGTGGCCAGTGACAAAACCAACATGTTCCAGGGGGTCATCTTTCAGGGCTCCATCCGCTACGAGGCCCTCAAGAAGGTGTATGACAACCGGGTATGTGCAGGGGGGGTGGCCCCCCCCACGGCCCTCATGTCCTGGCGGGCTCCGCCCAGGGCTGTCCCCGCCCCTCCTCTGCACCTGCGACCCCCCCTCCCCACGGCTCTGCCCCCCACGGCCCCCGTGTCCTGGCCGGCTCCGCCCAGGGCTGTCCCGCCCCTCCTCCGCACCCGCAGCCCCGCGCCCCTCCAGGTGTTTCAGGGCCGCGTTAACATTCCTCTTCACGGATCCGGGCGCCCTTGGTCCAGGGACGGGAGGCCGCACCCCGAGGGCAGACAGCAAGGAAGCTCGCCCTGGCTGGAGGGGACGGGAGCAGCCGGCTGGACAGCTGAGGCTGGTGGCTCCCTGGACACTAGTGACTTGTGTCCCCAGGAAGAGGCCACCCCTCCGCGCACTGACTCGGGCCGTCCCCGCCTGCCCGCAGGTGAGTGTGGCCGCCCGCGTGGCGCAGAGGGTGTCCTTCGGCTTCTACAAGTACAACAATATGGAGTTCGTGCGCATGAAGGGGCCCCAGGGCAAGGGCCATGCGGAGATGGCAGTCAGCCGCGTGTCCACCGGCGACACCTCCCCCTGCGGGACGGAAGAGGACTCCAGCCCGGCCTCACCCATGCATGAGCGGGTAAGGGCTGCACAGCTCGGGGAGGGGCCTCCTGTCCCTCGGATCCGCTTCCCACCGCCTCCCTGATCCTCACAGCCCCCCGGTGAGGTAGGTGGCATCACCCCCACCCCTCTGGTGAGGAGGCCGGTGTTCAGAGAGGGCAGCGACTTGCCCAAGGTCACACAGCAGGTTAGCGCGCGGGCCAACTGCGGCTGGGCTGAGCCTGAGGGGACCCCACGCTGGTCCTGGCACCTGCCTCTGGGGACACGCCGGCCGAGCCTGGGCACACACGACCCGCCTTCCCGGGGTCTGCCCTGGGGAGGATGATGCGTTAGCCCCCCGGCCCTGTGAGGCTCAGCAAGAGAACACGAGGTCCTGGCGCTGCCCAGGTCTTCCCCCAGCCCGGCCTGCTGGTTTATAAGGTGGGGTGCAGCTCAACTCGCGGCAGCCTGGCGGCCCCGTGGGGAGGCGTGGGCGCTCCTGCCTGCTCGCCGGATTTCCGGGCATGGCCCCAGGTCGCGGCTCTCGTGTGACAGCCCGTAGCCTTTGAACCCCACTCTTTCTAGGCCACCGTCCTTCCTCAGGGCTGGGAAGCCGAGGTCGGCGGCAGCTTTATTCCCTGGGCTTCTGGGCGGGAGGAAGCCTCTAACCCACTGGCCGCTTTGGCCCTGCTGGGGCCTGAGCTGTGGGCGCAGGGGTGAGGTCAGTGAGGGTGCTGGGGGCCCGGAGGCCGCTTTGGCCGGCCCGCCTGCAGGAAAGGACTTGGGGGGAGACATGGGGGCTGGAGCCTGGGCGCCGCCGCCCGCGTGACCCGGGACAAGCCTCTTCTCATCCAGAAGCGGGGAGCCCCGCGGTGTTGGGAGGCTGGGGGCACCGAGCACAAGCGTGGGCGCAGCGCGAACCCCCGAGTGCGCCCCTAGCGACCAGTTACCGCTGGCTGTCCGGCTGCTTGGGAACGGGGCCCCGAAGGACGGAAACCGCGCCCTGGTGCCGCCGCGCCCTAGCCGAGGAAGCGTGTGCCGGCTCCGCGTTTCGGCGCAAACCCGTCGCCGCGCCCGCGCCCGCGCAGCCACATAGCAGGTGTCTGTCTCCTGTCCTTTCTCGTTTTGCTCCTGCTGCAACGGATGTGTCTGAGAAGGAGAGTAAAAATAATAAATGCTTTTTTTGTTTTGTTTTGTTTTTTTACAAAGAGTGAGGTTTCCAGGCAGAGGACTCTCTTCTCCTTGAAGTAGAGGTTGTTCAGATATTTCTGAGCCGGCGGCGGAGAAAAGGAGCCCAACTCCTCTCCCCGGCCCTGCACAATGTGAATGTGAAAGTCTTTGCGAACAGATGTGTAACTAGACCTGCCTGGGCCTTGCTGTTCCCATCCATCAAGTGGGAGTGACAGCCTCTCCCTCCCGGGGTGGTAGCTGGGGGTGGAGGAGATGGTGCGAGGCTCAGAGTCTCAGGGAGGCCCCGGGGTCGAGGGGAGGGACTCGCCGGGGTCATGCAGGTGCCGGTGGCGGGGCCTGACCCCCCGGGGACCGCTCGGGCGCCCGCCGCCTCCGTGCTTACTGCCGCTTGCCCCCGTTTCCCAGAGGGGTCATTTGTAACCAGCTCGTGACAAATGCAGACTCTGTGTGTATTGTGGTATCTGGTGTTCTGTTCTTTTTTTCTATCTTCTAAAAACCTTCCCTGGCTTGCGGGAGGACCATCCGCAGCCCAGCGGCCGCCGGGACTTTGCTGGATGTCGGAAGCCGTGACGAGGAGGCTGCTGGGGCTCCTGAAGTCTCAGTCCCAGCTCACCTTGTTCCTCAGATTCTTGTTTGCATGGGGAGGAGGGAGGAGATGGGCCAAGTTCCCTCTGCCTGGAACGCCCTTCCCCCCCTTCTTCACCTGGCGAACTCCTACTCGTCCTTCAAGACCCATCTCAAGCGGCGTCTCCTCCAGGAAGCCTTTCCTGACTTCCCAGACTGTCGACCCCTTTTGCTCTGTGCCCCGCTGTGTCTTGTGCTCCCCTTCTTCTGTCTCAGCGGCCGCATTCAGTCTGTGGTTGTCACTTTACGGGTGTGTCGCCCCACAGCAGACTGTGAGCTCCTTGGGGGCAGGGACCAGTGTTGTGTGCCTGTCTGTCCCTTGTGCTGCACCTGCCTGGCCCTGCGTGGGTGTCCAGAACGTTGGGTGCTTTAATAGCGTGGTTACGAGAGGCGAGGGGACGGAAGTGGTGGCTACGTCGCCATTGCCCTGCCTTGAAAGGGCGCAGGGGTATATCTGCCAAGAGAAGAAATTGGGGTGAAGAGCATGCCCTTAGGAGGCTCAGGACCTGGGTCCAATCCTGGTTTTGCCCCCCTCCTGCTGGGTGACCTTGGGCGGGTCAAGGTCGCTGTCCCACCTTAGTTTACTGACTTGCCAGATGGGGTTAACGCTGGCTCCCGTCTCGCGGGTCGGTTGGGAAGCTTGCGTGGATCCGAGCGCCGGAGCAGGGGCTCGAGCAGCGGCCGCAGCCAGTCTGTGCTGGCCGGTGTCGGGGCCTGTCCGGGGCCCCTGGCCCCTCCTTGGGCAGAGCCGGCAACGAGGTCCTCCTGGCCTCCCTTGAGCTGGGCCGGCCCTCCGTGCCCGCCTAGCCCCAGGAAGGGCCCCCTCTGGTGGGCAGGGTCGGGGCCCCCCAGGGTCGCTGGGCTGCTCGGGGACTATGGCTCTTTGTTCCCAGGTGACCTCCTTCAGCACGCCCCCCACCCCGGAGCGGAACAACCGGCCCGCCTTCTTCTCCCCGTCCCTCAAGAGGAAGGTGCCCCGGAACCGGATCGCCGAGATGAAGAAGTCTCACTCGGCCAACGACAGTGAGGAGTTCTTCCGGGAGGACGGCGGTGGGGGTGAGTGCGGCCGTTTGTCTCCTCCCGGCTCCGTCCCTCCTTCACATCTGGAGAGCCAGCAGGTGCCCGTCAGGGCTGGGGGGCAGCTGGGGACGGCCAGACAGGCCCCTGCCCCGAGGGGCTCCCGTTCCGCGGAGAAGAGGAGGCACAGTGCGTTTGCAGACTTTTCCGGACGTTGATGGCCTGTCGGTTGCACACAGAGGGTCCAAGAAATCCTCGCCTAGTGGGACACGCGCTCTCTGGTTCGTCCCCGCGCTTGGTGACCCCAGGCCGTGCTCCTGCACAGGGGGGACCATCAGGGTCTCCTCAGGGCCCACCTGCCCACCTGTGGTGACCGGGCGTCTCAGCCTGGGGTCTGTGGGGGCCCCAGCTGGCCCCTCCCAGCCATGCCCCTCCCACTGTCTCCTCGGGCGGTGCCCGCCCTGCAGCCAGCAAGCCACGCACGCTGAGAGCGGGAGGCACCCCGTCTAAGCGGCAGGAAGCCATCAGAAGGCTCTAAGCAGGGGAGTGACGGAAGCAGATGTGAATACTGAGTAGCACAGAGCGGTCCCTGCAGGGAAGGGGCTGTAGGAGGCAGGCTGGCTCCCGGAGACGAGGTGTGGGTGCTGGGCACCTGGCACATGCGCTGGAGCGATGAAAGGGAGGCCCCCGGCCGGAGCTGGGGCTGTCCTTGTTCTGAGCACCGGGACCCAGAGACGGAGGGCCCTGGCCTTGACCTGCCCGTGTGTGTTTGGGCAAGCACCCTCCCCGCCTCGGCTCCCTTCCAGATCAGTAGGGAAGGGCTGGTAAGCACCCCACCCTGCCTCAGGCTGAGTCACGGTGATGGGCCCTCCCAGCCTTGCCTGGGCCCTGCACACTGGTGGTGCCCGTTCCGGTGACAGAGGGGCCCCAGGGAAGCAGGGAACATGGTGGGGCGGTGAGCCAGGCCCCTCGGAGGAGAAGAGGGGTCAGGGATGGCTGGAGGGACGGGGGGGTGCTGGAGGGGTGGCCACAGGCGGGGGCTGGCAGCTCTAGGGTGGGTTGGGGCACCGAAGGGTTGGTGGTCAAGGGCCCTGGCTGCAGCAGCGGTCACGCCGGCCCGTTAGGGGGCCCCTGCGGGAGGAGGTGCTCCCCGGGTCCTCCCAGGGCCGTGACTTGGCCTCCTCCCCTCCAGCGGATCTGCACAATGCCACCAACCTGCGGTCTCGGTCCCTGTCTGGCACTGGGCGGTCCCTGGTCGGGTCCTGGCTGAAGCTGAACCGAGCTGATGGAAATTTCCTTCTCTATGCACACTTGACCTACGTCACTTTGCCGTTGCATCGGATTCTAACAGGTAACCACGCTGCCTGAGGTAGAAAACAGCACTGCTTTTTTATAGCTGACCTGAGTCCCGCTCCGAGTCCTGCTCGGGGCCGTCTTCCCCGTCTTGTTTGCAGCCCGGGGCCCGTCAGCAGGTGTCTGTGTTGGGCTCCTGGCCGCCCCACTGAGGCCCCTGGAAAAAGCACGGCCCCTCCTCGCAGCTCTCTGGAGCCCCTCCTGTCCCCCTGGGGTGGCTGTGGGCCCCTGGGTGTCACCGGTGGGTGGGGCGAAGCGCTGGGGGCCGGGCAGGGGCCGAGGCCGTTTCCCAGCTGGAGAGCGCGGCGCTGCGGCCCCGGGAGGGCGCGGGGGGAAACTCGTGCTTGTACTCGGCACGGCCTCCCCGCGGGAGCGGGGCCCTGGGTGCTCACGTCCCGTCTCCCCCGCCGCCGCCATAGACATCCTGGAGGTACGGCAGAAGCCCATCCTGATGACCTAGCCGTGTGCAGAGCCTGTGCGGAGCCCCCCCGCCTGCGCGGCCCCGGAGCGCTGCCAAGTGCCTACTGTCCACCGCCCCCCGGGTCCCCGCGACAGCCCAGCGCGGAGCCGAGCCGGAGCCAGGCGGGGCCGCTCGACTCCGGGGCCCGGGGCCACCTCCATGAACACCAGCCCAAAGTGAAGTGCCTCTTTCTCCTCCCTGCTGGCTCTGCTCTCGCCCCTGTCCCCCCCCACCCCCGCCGCCACCCCCGCCGCCACCCCCCCAGCCCCTCTCTGGAGAGCTCTCTGCACCCGGCGGGGACCAGAGACGCCAGGGGGCTGTGAGGGAGACGAGCAGCCGGCGTCCGTGGCGCGTCCAGACCTGCGGCTGCGACGTTCACGTGCGGACACACAGCCGGCAGGTGGAGAGTCCCCTCCACCCCGGCCGGGGGCGCTTAGCGGGTCGGGCCATCAGCGCTTCCCCACGGAGAACCGGCTGCAGACCCTGTCACGCCGTGCCAGTGGTGAACCCGGCATCGGAGTCAGTCCCTACCCGCCCGCCCCCTTTGTTCACCGCTTGGTTCTAAGTGGGTCACTGCAGGGCTAGAAACGGGGCACACGGCTGTTGAGGGTTTTGCCCTGGGCTGGGAATACCTCACCCCACGCCTGGTTCCAGAAAGGCCTCGAGCTGAGCAGACAGGCCCCGGTCCTGCCAGAATGGCCTTTTGCTTCCAGCCAAAGAGCATCACCAACACACACACCTCCACCTTGGAGACCTCCCGCTCTGCGCCTCGGCTGGTGTGACCCGCAGAATTTGGACTCTGAGGGCAGGTGGGACAGCTGGGTCGTCAGACAGAGAAGGGTGCTTGGGGGAGGGGGGTGGAGCTGGCCTTCTCCCAGGAAGGTTCTGGCGGGGGTGGGGGGGTGGGAAGGGGATAGGGTGTTTCCTGGAGCTCGTTTACTTTGATTGAGTGTGCTGGTCCCATTTCTCAGACCAGCCCACTGAGGCAAAGCCGAACGGGCCTCCGCGCGGCTGGTCTGGGGGGGTTGGTGTCAGCAACCTGGCTCCGGCTGGAGGGGTTTCCACCCGGAATGACGCGCTGTGCTCCCCTCCAAGCCACGAGCCTTCTCCGGAGCGGAAGCGTTTGCCCTGCCCCGTGGGAATAAACTGTGAGCCGGGTCCGGTGCCATGTTGTCTTGTTTGAAGTCCCCAGGAATACGCGAGCTTTTCCGGTTGTGCACAGAGACCCTCTCTGCGAGGAGACAAGGCTGGCAGGGGCTTGCCCCCACCTGTCCTCTCTGCGCCCGCTCCAGGGGTTTGCGCTGGGCTCCGGGAACAGGGGCTACGTCGGGGCTTTCTCTAGATTTTGTATGCTGTTATTAAAAGCAAGCTATTGCATTTCATTCTGCCTCAGTTTGCCCACCTGTAAAATGGGGCTGATACCACCTACCTCACTGAAGTCTCCAGGGTTCCAGTGCATGACTGGGTTGGGCGGCCACCCCGCACAAGCTTGGGGACGGGGTAGACGTGGGATGCTTCCCCGCCCCCCAGCGCCTGTGGGTGGGGACTGGGCCGGAATAATCTCGCATCCTCTGACTATATCCCCGCTGCCGGCAGGGTTTTGCGTTCCAGAGCAGTGTTTTAGGACAGCACGGGGTCGGGCCTCGCCCCAGACTGCTGGAGCGCGGCCCCGTGTTCCAGGAGTACTCCCCAGGGGACCCAAGTGCTGTCCCCAAGTTTGTGTCTAGGGTGGCTAAAATACAGCTTTTTCTTTGGGAGTTTTTTCCTCCCTGGTCATCTGGGGTCTTAGGACCCTGGAACTCAGGTCTGGGGAGAAATACGGCCCTGCCGCCTTCCCCGTGGAAGTCCAGGGGGGCATGAAGGGGTCCCCCTGCGGAGCCAGGCCCTGGGGCTCAGCCCCCACTCCCGGGGGGCCCCGGGCACTCCAGACTCGTCCTCCGTAAGGTGACACGCGAGCTCCGCCCGCGTCACGGGAGCCGAGGGCCAGCTGTGCTACTGTGCACAGGTGAGTGCCGGGTCCCAGAATGTGCGACGGCGGGTGCTTGGAGCCGACCCCCACCTGGCACACGCGCGAACAGACGCCCGTGGTGGTCTGGCTGGTTCACACCCAGCGCGAAGGCGGCGCCGGCCTGTGCGGGCACCGTGCCGCCGTCGTGCCCGGCCCGCGGGCGAGGAAACCGCACGGCGACGGTCCCGGGACACACAGACGCGTGCGGGGGAGCCCACTTTCCTCGGTCCTTCACCTCCTGAAGAATGAATGTAGAACATGCTAGTTTTAGAGGCGCTCGGTAGCCGGAAAATAAGCTGTCGCCCTGAGGTTTAGTTTTTCAAAGCGACCGACATCGTCAGTACCAAAGTAACGAGGGATGGGGGTCCTGGCGTCGACACGCGTTTCCTTCTCGAGAGGCCATCTTGCGTTTTTCTGGAAGTGTGCCCGGCTCTTCTTCAGTGGGTACTGGAATCGGAGTACCGTTGTCCCGTGAAGAACCGAGGCGTCCCTGAGCGGGAAAGTTCTCCCTGACAAAGAAACGTCACCGCCCCAGAGTCTGACGGGTGGCGTGTCACCTCCAGTCCACCTCTCGGCGCCTCCGAGCTGAGGGAGCGCTTGGTCTCTCTCACGGAGGTCTTACAGGAACTTCCAGTCACTTCCAGAAACAGCCAAGGCTCATTATGTCAGAAGGATATTCTTTGCGATAGAAGTAACCGAGAAGTCAGTCCATGAAGAGCAGAAAGGAAAACACTCTGCAGCCGGCGGACGTGTTTTCTGACGCGCTAACGTTTGGACTTTTCGAGGCCCGTGAAGTTCTGTGCCACATGGAGGCTTGTTCCTCATGTGGCCGTTTCTTTTAAGAATCTAACCAGAGGCGAACCCGGATCTGCTTGCTGGTTTGGTCACCCAGGGTCTGTGTAGCCAGCGGACCCAAAATGGGAAGTGAAACCTTTTTTGTTTCTCCCGTTAAAAGACATTCCAGAAGGCGGGCCCTGTGCGGCCAGTAAATCCTGATGTCTGACGGGACTACACTTGACCCTGCCATAATCTGGAGGTCTTAAAGCACGGGCCAAGATTCTGTGTGGATGTCCCTTGCTGAAAAGCCGCCAGCGTTGTTGAGGAGGCTGGGTGGCTTCCGCTCGGGCATGCGTCTGGGGCCGTCCCGCACCTTAGCTGCAACGTGGGTCTCATAGCCAGTGTCAAAACCCCAGGGTCTTGTGACATGACCTTCATTCTTCCTGTTCAGGCTTCTCTTCTCTGTACAGAAAGCAGAATTCTCCTAAAACACGTCACCACCCCATGGGGACCCAGGCTCCTGGAGAGGCCCGGAGGTGACCCCAGGGCCGAGGCTGCTTTCCTTTGCTCTTTTCCACCTGCTGCTGGCCCCCGGTGGGAGGAGGAGTCCTCTGGTCCTTTCTCTGAGCCTCCAGAACGAATAGCCTGGAGACCTCTTGGGTCCCCATGCTCAGAAGCCAGGTCACCCAGACATCGGGTGCCCTGGGGCAGGGGGCAGAGCTCCAGGGCCGGCAGCCCCTCGAAGTGGAGGAAGCCACAGACGCACGGAGAGAGTTTGTTTGCGGCTTTCCTCGGTTCCCAGGGCAAGCGGGCACCTTTATTTCTGCGGCTCCGGTCCCTTGCACTCAGGAGACCAGAAATAACGGTGGTGCCCAGCCTTGGCCGGTGAGCAGTGGGCTGGCGGGAAGCTTCCAGTCCTTACCTTCTTTATGCTTCGACGCACTTCCTCACCTCGCAGGGGGCCGGGCGGGGTGGGTGTGAATAGGGACCTTTTCTGGTTTCCAGCCGGCCTCTGTGTGAGAGACGACTCCACCCTGCAAAGAAAACCTGTTGAGATTTTTTTTTCCACGACCTTGAGGCTTGACTAACGCGATTTCTACAAAATCCATTTTAGCAAAAACAGCACGACGGCATCACTGGACATGTTAGGGTCTGTCCGCGGCGTTCCCAGGGCAGCAGCGGCAGCTTCCGGGCACGGAGCCCAGTTCTGAGCAGCTCTCCGCTGGCTGTGGGCTGTGCTGTGCGGGTTTTGCGTTTCTGTTGAAGGTGGATTTGCATGTTGGATACTAAATTTCTTTTTTCTCTGTGTTTTCCTCTAGTGGATCTGTATTTGGTTATTTTTTTCCTTTAATGGGTATTTCAGATTAAAGACATATGACAGCGATGTGAGAAACTCCGTGATTGAACCTGAATTTGCGCCCCCGCCCCAAAGATTTCTTCTTCAATGGTTTTTGGAGCTTTCACACAAGGTCCTGTTTAGGAAGGGCCGGAGCCGGACAGCAGCCACCCGGGGGCCCTGGCTCCTGGGCGCTGGGGGCTCAGGCCTGGACCGGCGCTCCTGAGCCTATGATTTGGGCAGAGGCAGCATTTGCAAAACCAGATCACATGAGTCACGTCCCCATTTAGCTCCAGCCCCCATGAGGCAGTACGCGCCCTTCCGCCACACCATCAGATCTCCCACACTTTTTCTAGAGAAACTCTCACAAAGCCCTCGTGGCAGTGGGAATGTGACGGGGGCAGAGTGAGGAGTCCCAAGTTCAAGTGCAGGTTTGCAGGCTCTCGCCGGGCTGCCTGGCCTTCAGGAAGATGGTTTCCGGGCCGTGGCTGTCTGTTGCTGTGAGACTCTGCAGTTAATCACGTCGAGCAGAGCATGCTGCGGGTTTTCAAGCAGCCTCTACCCACCAGAGGCTGCTGCGGGCCGTTGCGGACGGAGGCAGCCTCTGCATCTCGGGGCTTTTGCTTCCCACGAGCAAACAATCCCTAAATTGTGTCTAAAGTACAGGGTGTGTATCAGGTTCCCATGGTGGGAGGTGACGGGACAGGAAGTGAAAGCGGGGGCTGGGGTGTCTGAGAGGAACGAAGATGCAGATGTAGAAATAGGGCGAGAAAGGTCACATTGATGACCCCTCTTGCAGACAGCCCTTGCCTTCAAAATGTGCGCGTGAGCAGAACTGTCGGGAGCAGCATCGCCCAGGGCAGCCCGCAGGAGAGCGTGCTACAGGCGGGCCCCGGCTGGTTGCCATCGGGATCAAACCCCCTTCTCGCTCAGTAGGGAAAAGTCGCCTGGAAGGTATTTAGTCGTGACTGTGGAGGGCACTGGGTGGGAGCTCCCGTGGTTACAGCCTGTGACCTGCTGCGCCCTGAAGGCTGATGCTGCTGTTTGGGCTCTTTTCTCCATCCTAGACGAACTTTCAGGGATCGTCACGCTCTAGCTTAGACAAACATGTCGACTGGAAGAGCAGACTTTGGGAATTTTATATTAGGAGGAGGAGAAAGTGTCCAAGAAATTAATCCGCATAGTACCCTAGTCCGCTGTATAAACACCTGGTGAGTGGGTGGACGTGGTGGACGTCGTGCTTGGCTGTTAAAACAACAGAACGGCTGGGAAGGTTAAAGGGGAAGCAAAAGTGATGGTTTGGGGGGCGAGGAATCCAAGGGCGACCCTTCTGTTGCTCGCAGATTCGTTGATTCCCTCCCACCTTGGCCTCTACGAAAGCTGACAGGTGTAACAAGGTGTTTCTTTCCTTTGTGTCAATCAAGGGTCTTTCATCTTGGAATCTGACTTTAATAAAACAACTGGATTGCCCAGTTGGAAATAACCGGAATTTTTCAGTGAACTGTGTTTATATTTTGAATAAACAACTTGTTCGGAGGCTCTTGTCCATTCCAGAAGCCAGGAGTCCTTGGACAGGCACACGCATGCACCTTCGAGCACAGTGGGAGGAGCCCACGTGTCCGTGGAACCGGACGCTGGGTTTTCTCCACCACAAAGCGGACTCCCCACCTCCCGCCCCGGGTCACGGGGTGGGGGAGGGGGTGTGTGTGGAGCGAGACGTGCACGTACAAGGCTGGGTAGCTCCTGGCTACAGTCACTGTCACTGCCGTCCCACTCCTGAAATGTGCCCCAAGGGCTTCGCCTAGATTATCTTTAAACAGAAGTCCTAAGGAGCAGCCCCGGGGCCTCACACTTGAGATGCTCACACTTGGGCGGGGTCCTCACACCTGGGGTGCTCACACATGGGCGGGGTCCTCACACTCGGGCAGGGTCCTCACAACTGGAGTGCTCACACTCGGGCGGGGTCCTCACACTCGGGCAGGGTGCTCACACCTGGGGTGCTCACACTCGGGCGGGGTCCTCACACCTGGGGTGCTCACACTCGGGCGGGGTCCTCACACTCGGGCAGGGTGCTCACACTCGGGCAGGGTGCTCACACTCGGGCGTGTGTCAGAACCAGCAGCAAACACCCAGGCGGCTACTGATGAAAATGTTGCGGGGTTCGTGGTGAGGGCAGCACATGACTGTACCAACGACTGAATCGTATACCTCCTGAAGGTGAAGGTGAGGTCATAGACACAGACCGAAACCCACGCCAGATCTGCCAGGCCTGGGGGAGGGGCCCCGGAGGTGGCAGCTTGAGCAAGTTCCCAGTTGCTGCAGCCGCCGGGACCACACTTGAGGACCGTGTGGTCGCCCAGCCACCCCGAGCTCCTACGACAGACCTGGCACATTTCCGGGTCAGGCTCCCTCTTCCGACACCGCCCTCCCACTGATGGCACCAGCTGGCGAGTGCCACTCTGGCAGGCAGCTTGGTCAGTCCTCCTGGGCCTGTCCCCGCGACACCTCCGGCACGGCCTGGAGCGGAGTTGGCCCTGGGCGGACTCTGCAAACATATCGCAGCTGATGTTACAGTTTAATCTGGGAATGCTTCGTTGTGGTTTTTCTAAATTGCTGAGAATGTAAAGTTCTATAACCTCAATGTATTTTTTTTTTTTTGATCATTTTGATCCTTAGTTTTAAAATATTCTCACAGGGGCGCCTGGGGGGCTCGGTTAAGCGTCCAACTTTGGCTCAGGTTATGATCTCACAGCCAGTGGGTTCGAGCCCCGTGTCGGGCTGCGTGCTGACAGCTCGGAACCTGGAGCTGCTTCAGATTCCGTGTCTCCCTCTCTCTCTGACCCTCCCCTGCTCACGCTGTCTCTTTCTCTCTTAAAAATAAACATTAAAACTTAAAAATAACCAAACAAATAAAATGTCCTTACGAGGGTTCAGATTTCTGACTGAGAGAGACCCGGACACAGATGCCAATTCCATTTACTTATGTGTGAGAAGCGCACGCACCTGCCCAGACCCCTGGCTTTGGAAAACGCAGCGCGGGCCGTCCGGGAGGTCTGCCCTGGGCGCTGTTTGCAGAGGGCAGAGTGCTTCCCACGGGGAACTGGGACGCTCAGCCGCACCCGCTGCGACACTCATTGGTGAACATGTGAACAGTGCAGCAAACTCCAGTGGTTTGGAGGGGGCCTGAGCCGCATACACGGGCCGAGAAGCAGGTCTGTCCTCACCTCTGTCCTCACTCCTCACCCCCTCAACTCCTCACCCCCCTCACTTCCTCACCTCCTCACCCCCTCACCTTCCTGCGCCCTGGGGGCTTCTGGGCACCGCCGCCCCCCTTCCCCCTCTGGTCTGCTTGACTTGTGGCAACACCAGGAACATCACAGGAACATACAAGTGTTAAACACTGATTTTTGTTTACCTTCCATTTATTCACATTTCATGGATATTACACTTCCTCAAAAACTAATACAAATTGAGATTACATTGTCTGACAGTTCAAGTATTTTAGGTTTAGAAAACAATTTCCTATGTAAAATAGAAAGCAAACATCTTACCCATCCGACTGCTAAGAGGTTTTACAGCCGTCACAATGGCATTCGCATCGGCACAGTCTAGAGTCCTTACCGTGATGGCCTCTGGCCAAGGACGTACCAGCGGGCAGAGCGCGGCCTGGATGCGCCGCTCCGGGTCACCTAATGGGAGCACAGATTCTCACTTCCGGAATGAGCACGAACGCCAGGGCCTGGGGAGTGAGCCGTCTGGTCTGCAAAGCCTTCGCTAGCCCGTGCACGCTCCCTCACTGCTCCGAACCACCAGAGTGACGAGCGCTCAAAAGCAAACGACTGGTTTAAACTTCAAAACTAAAGCAAAAAAGGCCGGTCTCAGTGCCAACTGGTTGTGAGCTCGGATAGTAATAAGGTGGGACTGTGCTTTCTCTACCTCCGAACAGGTAGATCTTTTTGGCATGCAGCTTATCAAAACTATGATGTAGAACTGAAATCGTAAAACAAGAATCCTTTTCAAGAAGAAAATCAGTTCATCAATGGCCACACTTGTCCTTCCACAGAAAACACAACCTGCGCTGCCTTAAAACCAGGACACGCACTTCCAGCCTGTAATTCTAAGACGGGGGATGCTCAGGAGGAGATGGACACACACCAGCTGTAAAAAAAAAAAAAAAAAAAAAAAAGGCCACTGGGACACTTGGTATGAGGCATCATGATTAGGATTAAAGGTGGAAACGTCCCTTCCGGCCACACAGAGGATACACATCACAGATCCTTCAACTAGATACAAACACTTCTGTCTACATTAAGACACTTTAAAGCCTAATTCCTAGTATTTTGTCCAAAATAAACCTAACCAAAGCCACGGGGTGGAACTGAGCTAGTCATACAGTGGGGGGGGTGAGCTCTCTGGGGGCCCTGCCCCCGGGTAACACACAAGCACTTGGACTTTACAGTAAAATCCACACGCACTCGGACTCTTTTCTGTCAGTACATAATCAAAGTGGAGGCCAAAGTTCCTAATGCAGAAGGGACACGGAAAGAGCGCGTTGTGAGCGACGGCGCACATGTCACATCCGCCCTTGTAACTGTCACTTTCACAGTGACAGTCATAGCAGCAAGTTTGCCGGGAATGTCAGGAAAAGAAAAAGCCACACATACCCACTAATTCGGAGAGACATGAACTGTTTTTCCAGGGGGGTTGAGAGGTGACCCAATTCTGATGTTTTTGGGCCACTGTGGTAAACATCCCACCGGACAGGCTGGGCGCTCCTGCAGGCGCCCGGGGGCCACAGGAGCATGTGTGGCTGAGGCCAGGACACAGGGGTCCCGCGCACCTTCGTCCTAACGGCCAGAGAGACCGCAGGCGAAGGAACAGGGCCTCCCCGGGTCACCCGCCCGCTTCCTACAGATGACCAGTCACAAAAGCTCACCCACGTTCTCGGTTCTAAAAAGACAACGCAGCAGCGCCCGCTACTCCTCCCTAGTTCTCCCGATGGCAGAAGCCGCCCACACCCCGCGAAGTAGAAGCATCTCTCCGGGTATCTGTTCAGTCACACGCCGGGGCCACATTCTCTCACCGGAACGAGAAAACAAGTACGAGACTCTCACGCTCAGTGTTGGGCCGACTACCACACTTCAAGCGTCTGAGTTCACACAGCTGATCATAAAACAGTTTCCCTGCCCCCCTTTAAATCTAAAAATTATAGATTCTTTTCTTTAAAAAATCAACTGTCCTATCTGTAGTTACTGTACTGTTCCTTCCTAAGTCAGAAGACATTCTCTGTGCTGAAGATCAGAATACACAAATGTGAGCCCTCAGGCACGGACCCTGAGCCTTTAAAACAAGATCATTAAATGATTAGTGAGGAATGAAAGTGGACACTTAAACATTAAATCTGCATCTAATTCACGTGCCCAGAGTCTTGCAAGGCGGCCGGGACTAGACACCAAACGGCAGTGGGGACGCGACGTGCTCTTCTCGTGCGTAACCGGGCCTTCCTCCCAAGTGGACGAACTGAACGTCTAACTCTTAAAAAAGTCCATGGAAACTCATCAGACACAGTAAGACACCCCTGTTTGGAGTTAAAGGCAACATTTGCACACCCCATTTCGATTCCATGACTTCGGTGCACGCTTCCTGGAGCGCGCACACGACTCGTGTAGTCAGAGCTCCGAGGGCTGGTGAGCGGCTCGGGGATGCACAGGGTTCCTCACGGCACAAATTAACTAGGGCAGATTTCGCTTTCTTTTGTACCGCACTCTTTGACTTAATTTTTTTTTTTCACCGGGGTTTGCTGTCTGTGATCTATCAACATAAGCTACCAAATTTGTGCTTTAAAAACCTCACTCCTGACACCACCCCCCGTTCTACTTGCCTGCAGGGGGTGCGCTGGGAACAGCGCCTCAGGAATGACACTATAAAACCCGATCAACTAACCGAAGAGCAAGCTACTGGCTTCCTTTTAAAACCAAAGAGCAGCTCCAGCATCAGGTAACGTGGCCACAGGGCCACAAGGCCTACGTCTGCAAATCAAAAGCTAACGCCTCTAGTGCTGAGGGGACATTTGGTATTGAAGGTTCAGCTTTAACAGCAAAGGAAAAACGCAACTGCCACGGCCAGTAGCATGATTCATTTGGAAACGGGCGCTGTTCTCCCCAGTCAGCCACGCCCCCCAGAGAGGACGCCACAGGCAAGCTTCCTTCTGGACGCGGGGTGCCGGGACTTGTCGGCAGAGGCAGCAGCCCCCGACACCCGGGGATTGGAACAGCCTTTGGGAAGTCTAATCGATACCCTGATTTTAGTCTGTTAAGAAATCACTTGCGGTCAGTTTAATAAATGAACATTAAAAATCTTCCAAAAAATTTCATTCAAACATTATTTTACACATTAGATAGTTCTTAAGAAGGGAGAATAGTTTCTTGACACTTAACATTTAAAGGTTTTATTGGCCACATTCATCTTCCTCACAGAAGTTTTACGTTCTCCACGAGTCCTTGGAAGGTCAGAGGAAGGAGAGGAGGACTGACCAGCTCGGTGAAGGGCGGCGGGGGCAGCAGCTTGGCACCAACTCCTCAGAGGGCGGGCGTTCAGGCATCCTTTTTCTCCAGTAAAATTTTGTGCAGCTCATCTGCGTCCTCGCCTGTTTTCACCCGGATTAACATGGTGACCGGGACGGTGGCATTCTTCTCATCGATGGGTGGGTTTGGGACACACACAATAAGTACGTTGTTTCTCCCCGTCCGCGTGCACGGCATGTTGGGCGGAATCAGGACGTTCAGCAGTATGTTGCCTGCATGTAAACAAAGGAAAAGGTACATCGAAATCACACAGACCACAGGCCCGAGACCACAGCTTTAATATGTGAAACGTTCAATCTCGAAGCCCTCTTCAACTTAACCCATCTCACACGGTGGGGGGGGGGGGGCATCAGGGAGGTCACAGAAAGGGCACGGGCTCCCTGGTGCGGAGGCCTCAGCCCGACTGTGGGGAAACCGCCTTCCGCCCCTCCTGCCCCATCCCTGTGGCCCGGCCGTAGCGGCCAGGCCCGCTGAGCGGCGTCCGTTCTTCCATGACCCCTTCACAAGGTCACTGGAATAGAGGCAAAATGGTCAGCAAAGAAACCTCCGTCCGAGGCCAGCACGGCTTCGGGGGGGGAGGGGGTGCGCTAGTACCACAAGATGTCACCACGTGTCAAGCTCAGCAAAAGAGCCACACGGAAGTTTCTGCGACCTGGCCTGGCAGGGCCCAGGGCTGCCCACTTCGTCTCAGACCTGCCCCGGCCCCTCCAGGCCCTCCCCACTCCTCGTGCCCACGGGCTGCTCTGAGGGCGAAGCTGCAACGCGTTCAAGTTCACTTCCTACATAAACCAGAGTCCTGCAAACGGTTCATTCCCCTTCTGTGTTTATTAAACCACCCACTTCACCGACAGTTTCTTCATCACATTTCTAACACCAAGTAAAGTGAAAACTGTTTTGGTGACTTCTTGGCTACAGTTTTCAACACACCTTCATTCCCCTGCATGTCCCCCGACTAAATCTGTAAACAACCAGGAAGCACACGATGCGCTCGGTCTGCTAGCCCACCCCCCAGACACACCGGTGCACGCGAGCTCGGTGACTGCACGAGTGGGGCTTTTTACAGACCATGAGGTTAGGATTTGGGCCCCTTGAAAAGATACACACCTAAATTGGTGTCTGCCCGCACTAAGAGTTGTGTCTTCTGATTTGCTGTAGGTTTTAAATGCAAAGTACCCACACCTTTTTCTTTAAACTCGTTGTCTTTCTTGTAAAAGAGTTTACACCTGCGGGAAAGAACAGGTATAATCAGACACTCCGAAGACAAACCAAGTCACAGGTTCAGACAACCACTGTTCACACCTGTGCGCAAAGACCCGCATGAAAGGAGCAGCGGAATCCCTGACTCAGACTGGGCACCAATCAGAATAAGCAAAGTGCTTAGATGTCCTAGAACCCTTCCCTCATTTCCCCCAATTACTAAAATAGCGGCTCAGGGTGGGGCGCCTGGCTGGCTGTTGGCTGAGTGTCCGACTCTTGATCTCAGTTCAGGTCGTGAGGCACGGGGCCTACTTGGGACCCTCTCCCTCTGCCCCGTGCACACAGGCACCCGCTTTCAAGCTCTCTAAAATTAAAATTGAATTGCCACTGGCTCTCAAAAGAATAAAATAGTGGGTCACATACAACTTTTAAAATAACACTTCTAAAACGGTCTTTTCTCAATTCAGTCACGAGCACAGCTAAGCGGCCCACACGTGTCCGCTGTGCTCCTCTGGCCCCGAGCTCAAGAGGCCGAGCTGGTCCTTTAAGGGCAGGAACAAATACAGGACACTGTGCCCCCATCTCTCTTCCCTCTTTTCCTACTTATTTTTGAAGTCTCTTCGGGACTCCTTCGGGTTTTGGGCTACCAAACGCTCAAATTCTGGAAAACGTTCTTAAGCAAGGCTGACATCCCAGTAAGGCCATCGGACGCCTCCCCGCCCTGCCGCCCCACGTCTCCTCGGGCCCACACACAACCCAAGCCACCGCCTGCTCCTTTGATCTGTTCCGATTAGGAGAGAATCTTAGGTCAGGTCACTCCTTCGTTTCATGTGTGTAATTAAATAAGAACAAGCAGAAGGAACTGTTGGATTCTTAAAAGTTCTCAGAAACTTGCGAACTTCACAGGCTACGGTGATTTGTTATGAAAATGGACTCAATCTGAAATTTTTGTTACTTAGAAAAACGCATGTTAGGGAAGCTTCTAAAATGGCACAAATGAATTTTCTGTAAATATCTCTGTTAAAAGTACTAATCTCATTTCACCGCGATGAGAGAATTCAAAATTTTCCCCAATCTTTCTTCTGAAAGCAACCGCTCTCATATAAAAACAAACAAAACAAAAAACCCCCGAACAACTCTCTTCACTGGGGGGAAAAGACCAAGGGACAGTCACATGCAGAACTTGCTGGCTGAGAAAAGCCACAAGGGCCAACCACATCTCTAGGAAGGGAGGAGGCCGCCTGACCAAGAGCGGGAGTCAAATCAGATCAGAAACCAGTGAGGAGGGGACTCTGCAGGGAGGAGGAAGGGCACAGAAGGGAGGAGGAGGAAGGAGCGAAGCCCGAGATGAGATGGGGAGGGTCCAGCACAGAAAGACCTGTGCCTAAAGCACTTTGTTTTTTAATTTAAAAATTTTTTTTTACTGTTTTGTTTATTTCTGAGAGAGAGAGAGAGAGACAGCGTTAGCAGGGGAGGGTCAGAGAGAGAGAGGGAGACACAGAATCCGAAGCAGGCTCCAGGCTCTGAGCTGGCAGCACAGAGCCCGACGCGGGGCTCGAACCCACGAACCGTGAGATCATGACCTGAGCTGAAGTCGGACGCTTAACCACCTGAGCCCCCCAGGTGCCCCTAAAGCACTTTGAAAGCAGAAAAGAACAGGGCACCTGGGGGACTCAGTCAGTCAAGTGTCCAACTTTGGCTCAGGTCGTGATCTCACAGTCTGTGGGGTCGAGCCCTGCGTTGGGCTCTGGGATGGCAGGGCCAGAGGCGCCTGGGAGTCTCTCTCTGCCCCTCCCCCACTGGCTTTCTTGCCCTCTCAAAGAAAAAAAAAAAGGCAGGAAAGAACAAAAATAACAAAGAGTAGGAATGCCCAGCAGGAAATTTCTAGAATGTCTGTTTTAAACACACAGGTCAAGAATTGTTCTTCATTCCAGCTCAAAGAGCAGGCACAGGCAGGCCCGGGTGGGGCGCTCGGCATCTCCTCATGAGGCCACCTGGCACGTCCCTGAAGACGCGCGCGCCAAGTGTGTGCCCGGGGCTCTCACTTACTTTTTGGAGTAAAACGCATCTTCTTCTTTCACTTCGGTAACTACTACTTTGGGTGGTTCATCATTCTCCTCTTCGTCTCCGCCTTTTATAAAAACAAGACTAACTCAGTAAAAGTCAAACCAAGAGCTTAACAACGTAACAACACAAGTTCTCTCCCCCCCAATACCTCAACCCCCAAAACGCACGTAAGCGGACGCAGAATTCAAAAGTACTCATCTAACTGGGGGGGGAGCGGAGGACTCACTGGATTTTAATGATTTTATGAAAAAATTAGAGTAGTTTTTAATAGGACCCTGCTTCTCTCTTCTAGATGTTGACCTGTAGAAAGTCTTGAGGTGAAAAGTGATGGACACTTACTTACAATTCAGTGCCCAAATTTTAACAGGGAAATAACCAATTAAGCCCCACACGGACTCAAGATTACCCACTGGAGAAGACTTCAGCTGGGCCTCTATCGCCTTCAGCCCCAAAAGCTCCCGTGACCATGTCTCATCGTCCCGCTAAGGAATAATCAACACGAGATAAAATTGTTTACAGGGCGAGTTGTCGGAGAAACCACCCTCGTGGGGAAGCAGGCTCTGTCTAAACTGCCACACCTCTGGGGCTCGGGTCCCACGGGTCCCCTCCCTGACCTAGCCCAGGGCCCCAGCTATTAGATGCAAGTAACATCCTCTGGAGAAAGTGTGTCTGGAAAGTCAGTAAACTAAATAGCAATAATTCTGGTGCTCAAACAATTCAAAGTCGTAAGATCTGCATTTTAAGAAGGCATGAGATGTCATGAGATGGAGCCCCATGGAGGGATTCCCTCCCCCGCTCTGGGCCTCTGGGCCTCCCCCTGCTGGTGCTCCGGCTCAAAAGAAAGGCAGTCCTGAACTGGGTTGTCCAGGGCCGGCCCGGCCACCGCGGTCCTTTAACAGCTACGTCTTTCTGACGCGTCAAACGAGCAGCACGGGAAGCATAAGAAGCAGGCATTGGGCCTCGTGCGAGATGGAGCCTCCCTCCCCCGGGCTCTGCGGTCCCTGCCATGCCGGGGCCGGGGGCCACCCTTCACTGGTCCTTTAGGGCAGAGGAATAAGAGGGGAGGCCTTCATGTTATGCTGTGCACTGGGGGGCCCTGAAGGCCACACACAGGGATAACGGGAGTCTGGCTCCGAGGAGGAGGGACACGTAATATTCGCTGGCAAACTCCCTCTCACCGAGCTAACTTGTCCGAGGCGTGCGCTTTCCACCTACTTATTAGGAAGTGCCTTCACACGCGTGGGGTGTTCACAGCCACCACGTGATGACAAGAGATTAGTAGGATGCGAACCCCTCTTTTCAAAGAGCTAAGAACAGGGAGTGAAGGGCCTGTGACTCAGGCCTGGCTGGGGGCATACCACACTAGGTGGGAACTTCTGGAAAGGTGGTTGCAACCCAGACACATCCAGGGAAAACCCTGTCAATTTGTTCCCTGTGGCGAAGAAGAGTCTACCTTTTTCCTGTGGAGTACTTTTCCGCCAGGAGACTTCACCTACAACTATAAACCCCTAGACACAAAAAAGTCCATAGATGTTTAGGAACAATTCTTTCAATAAGACACAATTTTCAAACGAAATTAATTCACTCAGTTTTTATTTTAGAGAGCGTGCGAGCGGGGGAGGGGGAGGGGGAGAGGAAGGTGAGGAGGGAGATGAGGAGGAGTATCCTAAGCACGCTCAGCACAGAGCCCGCCGTGGGGCTTGATCTCACGACCCTGACATCATGACCTGAGCCGAAATCAAGAGTCAGGCGCTTAGCCGAGTGAGCCACCCAGGGCCCCTCACTTAATTTTTGTTATGCAAAGCCGTCTGCTTCCTAATTTTCAAAGTTGTTGTGCCAGATGCTTCTATACCCCTTATTTTTAAGTTCTTACTCCTTACAACAACTCTACAAAACCGTCTCCCTCCCTTTTACAAATAGGGAAACGGACTCCAAAACAGCTGGCCAACTTCGTCTGGGGTCGCGTCTAGGAAATGACAGTCACAGCGTGAGTCCAGGTCTCCCTGAAACACACACCCACGCTCGCGCCACTGCACACGGAGCAGACACGCCTGGAGCCGACTTAGAGGACGGCCCGGCCGCGTCGTTACCTTTGCGCTCGTCACTGCCGCCCGCGGGCTCCTCCGGGGTCTCCGAGGACAGGGAAGAGGCCGGTTTCTTCTGGCTCATATCTCTGCCAAAAAAGCTGGAGTTTCCGGAGGAAAATGAAAACCCAGTCAGCGGGCCCGAGTTTAAGGAGCCCAAGACGGAACCATCGATCTTCTTGCTAAAGCTGAACGAGGCACTCGCTGCTCCCACCAACGGGTCCACCTTCTTTTCGGAATCCGCCTCGGTCTTCTTTTCAGACGCATCCTCGGTTTTGCTGCCGTGAAACAAAAACGCGGACTCCTGCTGGGACGTGGCCTCCCCAAAGCGGGGGGGAGGCGGCGCGGCGCCGGGGGCCCTGCTGGCGGCGCTCTCGGGACCCCCGCCGCCCAGCTGCTGCTCGATGCCCGCCAGGTGGCTCTCATAGTCCCTAAAGATGGGCGTCAGGTCGCAGAGGGGGTTGGAGTTCACGTGCTTCGCGATCCAGTCCCGAACGGAGCAGTTTAAGGCGGCCAACTGCTTGTGGTAGGCGCTCCGGGGGCAGGCGGGGCCAGAGGGGGGGCCGGAGGAAGAGGGCTGCTGGCTGTCACCGTTAGTTTTGGGATTTAAAATCTTTTTATCGACCAAGGAGGTAGGACCGTTTGCGGCAATAGATCCTATAGGAAATTAAAGTTTGAAGAGTTTACTGAGAAGCTGATTTGAGCACATCACCCAGATTTTTATGCCGCGCGGTCTTCGTGTTTTCTGCTTTTACTGCATCCTATTTCTGTGACAGTTCGAGAAGGATGTGAACGTCTGACATCTAGGAAGCGGCGATCACAGAAATCAAACTTTGTACAGAAACTGCGCTCGCGGTAATTAAACCTCAAACATTTTTAAAGGAACTTTTCTGTGAACAGGATGCCCGCCTTCCGCGGGGACTGTCACAATGGCCAGCATAAAGCTCGAGCCCCCGCGCGGTGGTGGTGGGCACGTGTTCGTGCAGTCAAAACCTTAACAGGAAGCGCCAGCTTCAGCACACGGAACGCTCTGCCTCATTACCACCCAACAGCACACACACGTACAACACCCAGCCAAGTCCCATCCAACCAGCTGGGGTCACTTCTGAAAACCGAAGGCCACAGCGCACGGTTCCGTTCTCTGTCGCTAATCCCAAGGGTTCTTGACCAACTCTCACAAAACAGGATCAGGCCATCAACATATCCCGGGTGAAACCAGGCTAGACTGGAGGATCCCTAGGCTCTAGGAGGGGTGCGCCACACAGAGCGTCCGCGGCGCTCCCAGAACGAATGAGGAGGCAGTGAGGAGGTGGGAAGGCGGGTCTGTGGAGGGTCCAGTAAGAACTTCCTCTTCTCCTCTGACCCTTAGGTCAATTCCGAGGGTCACTCTCATTTCACAGCTGAAGATCTGGAGGCTGAGGCTAAGGGGCTTTACCGGGGTCACAGAGCCAGTGACGGGCAGAGCAGAGAACAGAACCTCGGTCTATTTTGGCTCGAAAGCTTCTGCTCCATCACTTCCTCTGCACATGGCCCCCATCTCTCTCATTTGCATCCCTTTCAGTACCCCCTGCTCACTTAGTCCCAGCACCCAGGTAAGTACGAGGAAAGTATCTCTGCAAAGTTATTTTTCAGACGGTCTGTAGGCAGATGTGACCAGGGGGAGGGGCACCTACTCACCGGAGGCTGCCTGGGTCTCGCTCGCTGCCCTGGCGCCGGAGAAGGGAGGGGCGCCGCTGCTTCCGTTAGATAGTCCTTCCAAAGGCTTCCCTCCGGCACCGTTACCGAAGCCAGAAAACCCGCCTCCGCCAGATGGCACCACCAAACCTTTAAAACCTTTAAAGGCCCCTCCACTATCAGACTGAAATACAAAGAAAGAGCACACATCAGAGAACTCCTTTGTAACTAGATGATCAAGACATTATCTTGGCTCAGCAGCACCCAGGGTCCTGCCGCCAGCAGCACTAAAGGAGCACTGGGAACGAGGCACATTTTATTCCCGATGACGGCTCTGCACCCAAAGCTGCCTTCCCGAGACGGCCGTGGAGGACAGTCCTAATGCGCGGTGCGATTTGTTTTTAAAAAGAGGCTTAAGATACAGAAGGCAAAAATGACTAACTAGTGCAGTGAAGCTGTGTACGCAGGCTCAGAATTATAACTAAAAGCAAACATTTCAACACAACTAATCCCAAACGAGCCATTTTTCATGTACTACTCAGTCAAAGACCATTAGCCCAAGGAAGCTGCAGAAGCATCAGGTCAGGTCAGCTCCAAGCATCTTACCCACTTACCTGGAATTTCTTAAGCCCTTCTGCACCTTCTAGCCTCTGCGACCTAGAGAAGTTGACTCTCCGATGGAAACTTTCCCTTAGTTGAGAAATCCACAGGCAACATTTTTATTCTGTTTGCCTGCTACATCCAGTAGCAAGGTCTTTCTAGCAGCCCTTCCCCACTGATGCTGGCTTTCTCACCTCTCTAAGCCGAGATGCTGTGGAAACATCTGGCACTCCTTATGAACTTCTAACATTGCTCTCTGCCCCTGGAAGCTTCTGGAGAACCGCTCCTCAGTTTACAGTGTTCGACTGAAGTTACTATTTTCTCCCCATTCGAAACAGGGGTTCTCCCGCAGCGGGGGTGGTCGGCTTCCTGGATCAAGGATCCAAAGGAGGCTCTAGGAAACAGTCTCAAAGAGACGCGTAGAACATCCACGGGAGTGCGCCAGCCTTCAGTCCTCACACAAATGAGTAAAAGTCATGCGCTCACAAAAAACTAATTATACTAGGAACTCTTCATTTTCTAAATGGGCCAGTTAGCCTAATATTATTGCCAAGTTTTCAAAAAACACAAAAATTTCAATCATATCCACAGGATTTCAGATGGTTACTGACCATGGATACAATTATGGCAATAAAATTAGCCCCCCCCGAAAGACAAGAGAAAAAAAAAAAAAAAGCAAAGCCTTAACTTGCATACGTTTTAAGGCAGTAATAAATAGTACTCTTCAGTTTGGACGCTCTAAATTTGATTTTTAATGATTCAATATCCCAGAGACACCAGAGAGCTTTCATCTTATAACAACATTCCACAGACAAAGCACAAAAAGCTCTAAGTAGCTCCTCAGAGGTTTATTTTGCATGAGATTAAAAACCATGGGATATTTACAGTTATTTTGGAAACTGCTGACACTAAACTGGCTCTAGAACCATCACAAACATTCAAGAACTGGGTTTTAAATGAAGGAATGGATTCAAAAAAAAAAAAAAAAAAAGAGAATACAAGCAAATGAGGTAATCCACCAGGGCTCCGGTGTCTGTCAATCTCCCTCACTTATTTTTTCTCCACGGCACTTAGAGAAAAACAATAATTATATATTCACTGTGTCTCTTCCATCCTGAAGATGTAAGTCCCACAAGGCACAGATGTTTTACTGACTCCTGTCCTCACCCACCAACGAATCTCTAGGGCCAACCCAGATGTGTTGAAGGAACGATCAAACAATCCCAGGACAGCGGACGCGGGAACAGCACGGGTCGGGCGCCCACACCCCTCCCTGACCAGAACAACAATAAATGAATCTGCCTATAAATGGACCCATGCAATTCAAACCCATGTCGTCAACAGTCAATGGTATATAGGAAAAGCCACATTTCAGCACTTAGGCAGATGATGTAACTTTTCATTTCTATAACAGCCGGAGGGCCCCCACCCGGCCCAATCTGGATTGCGGCAGACACGGTTCCTACTTCTTCACGCTCATCTGACAGCTGGGCCATCCGTGCCTGTGGCGGTCTTCCTCTGGCCTCTCTGTCTACACCATGAGCTGACACTCTCAGCCACCCTCCCTGGTTTCAACTTCCTGCATGGAGAGGACTCTCAGACTGCTGTTCCAAGAAGCCACCCACAGACCTAGTGGTCTTCTAGAACTTTACATGAATGTACCCCAGGCTCTGAGAACACATTTCCCCAGCTGAACCAATCACTTCCTCCATTAAGTAAGCTGTCCTTCCCTCCTGCTGCACCCTCTCCACGAAACAGCCATCCAACTTCACGAGGCTTAATATATGTATTTAACGGGTCACCAGTCTTGACGGCTGAGGACTGTCCCGGGGAAGACTAGTTAAATGTGGAGTGACTGCGGAGTATGGACCACGTGATCTCTATTCAAGAGCTACAGCTCATCCTCTATCCTTCTGGGCCCAGGAAGGAGACTGTAAGCTACCATACTGGGAAGAAAACCTGCATGTGCAACGCTTCTTTCGGAGCTGAAGGACCCCCCCAGTGCCAGGACGCAGGCAGGACGCCAATAATACCTCACATGTCCCTTCCAACTCCACGTGCCACCACTTCTGTGTCGTCACGGGCGTTCTCTCCTCCTACTGCCGCTCAGCTGGAATCTGTCCATAGTATGGACATTTTATTTCTGCCGCTCGATAAGGTACAGATCTCATGCTTCCTATTTCTATCTCCCACGGCCTACATCAAGGATTTTCACAGTGGAGTTAGCATTTTCAAAAGCATTTATCGATCTGACTGCTCCCAGTGGTAGAAATGTGCTGCAACTCAGAAATCAAATTAGTGTTCAACACCAAGGGCAGTAAGAAAACACTCACTTCAAATCCAACATTTCTACGCTTTGCTTTCTTTATGGCTCTATTCTTCAAGACCTCCTCACTGGCCACTGAGAACGTTCCCACCTGTAAGTGTACAAATTAAACATCAGTTAGATGAGGCCCAAAAGAAGAAATGCAGAACAAAAAAGCCTGACCAAACTCATCTTACTAGCGGCTGGTTTTAACCCACTGTTAACACTGGTAACATAGTAAGGAGAGGGCAGATCAAAATAAATTTGACGCCTGTTGTCTACCTTGTGAATCCCACAGCTGCTTAGATGAATCAGAAATCTCCCAGAACGAGGGGCCTGCGCAGGGCTCAGTCAGTTAAGCATCCGACTGTTGATTTCCGCTCAGGCCATGATCTTATGGTACGTGAGTTCCAGCCCCACATGGAGACTGAGATCAAGACCCAAAACTGGGCTCTGCAGTGGGCTGGGCTGGGCTCTGTGAGGGGCACGGAGACTGCTTAAGATTCTCTCTCTCTCTCTCTCTCTCTCTCTCTCGGCCCTGTCCCGCGTGCTCTCTCAAAGAAAAAAAGGGGGGGAAGAAATCTCCCAGAATCTATGCAAATCCAGGCTTTGCATCACAACCCAGAGAGAAGCACACACAGGAAAACAGGACAAGTTTTGCTGAGCCTAAGACCATCAAAAGTTTGGTAGAGACCTATTCAGAACTAGTTCTTCAAATTTTAAATATATTCAGATATGTATCTTAGAATAAAAATCCAGTTCTAAGAAGCAAAATCTATTCTTCAAGAGCCAAGTTACCTGAAAGCTCATTCACAGTTAACGGCTGGTGGTGGAGCCAGTTCTGAAACCCAAACGCCCAAATGTAGGACATCACTATTACCGTTTTCAACAACAAACTTCACTTTTATCACACACGCATAAACCTTGCCCATTTGCCAGTCACCCGAAAGCCCCCTGATGTACTGGGGAATCTAAGTGACCCTGCTTGGAAGCTACTGCTCTTCCCAGGAGCTGAAAGCGCCTGGCCCACAATCAGAACTTGGCTGAAGATCTTTGTCTTTATCTCAACCCTTCTTCTACCCTGTAGGGCCAGCACAAAACAGGTCCCGCCAGAGGTCTTCACCTAGAGTGAGTTCAGGTAAGGTTACACTTAAAGTGACCTCTACGCTTGCAGAAGGGGCTACCTGGCCATGCGTGTCCCAAATCAAATTTAATGCCCTTTCAGACTCACTAGAATCGATCCAAAGGGAGGTCCCTTCATACCTGAAATATCTTAGTGCCAAAGCAAATTATTTTATGGTAGCCTTAAATCTTACTAAGCCCAGAATGAAACTGGGCAGAAGATGTGGAAAAAAAGCCTTAGTTACCAAAGACTTGGTAAAAAAAAAAAAAAAAAAAAAAAAAAGGCACCAAGTCAGTGAGAAATGTTAGAAACCTTGTCGAAATAATAACATGCTTGTGATTTGGGTTTCCCTAAACATAGGAATACATATGTTTGTAAAGAAAACAATGTTCATATAACAAGACCAATTCAAAAAGAAGACAGTTTTAGCATAAGCTTGGAAACAGTTGTGCAGATTTCTTCCTCTTTCTTTAAACCCCGCGCTGTTCTGTTGGCCTGTGCTCACCAGACTGCTGACAAGGCACTAAAAACGCAGCTGTAGTTCCAGTCTTTGTAAGAGACAAATTGAAATATTTCTCAGGGAAGACGGTTTTTATTTTGTTAGGAAAGAAACTAGGCCAATCTAAATTCTATTCCATTGTTGCAGGGGCCAGGGAGCACGGGGGGTGAGGGAGTGTCTCTCAGATCTGTGTGAACACGAAGTTAAGACAGGCCTCCAAGAAGCATTAAGAGTAAGGGAGGCGACCCGATCGGAAATCTCCAATCACGGGCGGGGCAGCTGGAGAAGCCGGGTGGCTGTACCACTTCTCATGTTTGAACAGGGGCGCGATGCTAAGTTCAGGACCACATCACTTACTCACCCTTCAGGCTTGACTAAAACTATGAGTTTAGAATGCAGCAAGTATATGAAATTCAGGAAGGTGCTCCTACAAAGGCGCAGAATATTTCGGGAACAGGAACTAGTGGGAAAAAGACAGCCAAATGTAATAAATAAATTTCTATACTAAGTACAGGTCATAAGAAACCATTCTATTTCCTGTTCCAGCTGCTCTTTAAAAGGCCTTTTAATTTTACGACAAAATCTGCCCAAGGAATCCCAAAGTGAGTTTAAATTTAGAAGTGTCAAGGAAGCACTCTTGGGGAAGGATTTTTACCTCCTCTGCTTCATCTTCTTGATCCCAATTCCTGTCGGTCAATTCCTTCTCAGCAATTCTTTTGGCCATTTTTTCAAGCCTAAGTTAAAAGTAAAAAGAAGTGAAAAGTTTACTTTTATGGATGAAGGTACAATAATTTACAACGGATTTTTAAAGAATTTTTATGAAGAATTTTAAACAACGCTAAGCCAGCTTAATTTGAAAAAAACTAATACTGATTTTTAAAAATCTGAAGTGCTGTATTATGTAATCAACAAGTGATTATTCTTTGCAAATTATAATTACAGTCTTGCTACAGGCAAAACATTTTAAACACTTAAAATTCTCTTAAAGAGGATTCAGTAAAGCAGCTCATCCTTAGATAAGAATTTTAATAAGGCATTGGAACTATCTTCACGCCACGAGTATGCTTCTTTAGGCTACAGACAATTGATAGAAATAAATTTCCTGAGACTGAACATTTCATTACCCTAATCTGCATACTGCTAAGCTAGAATGTCATTTAAAAGTTCAAAATGGAATTAATATCAATGTGTTAACATTCTGAAAATTTATATGTAACCCTTCAAGAATAAACCATCAGCTCAACTCCTCTAAAGCCACTGTGTTACGGGGGTGGGGGGAGTAGGAGGGTAATGGGGAGTAAGTGACAGTATTATCTGTACGGCGGACACAAGCAGCTAGCCAGAGAGGGTCCTTGAAGCCATCCCTTAAAAGACGTAATGTTTTCTGATCCTAATGTATATCCTTTGCTATCAAACACAAAAATACCAACATACTCAATAGACAGCTGCATTGTGCATGTTGTGCTGGCTTGTTCTCTAACTCACCAGCTAAATGGACCAAGCAAATTCCATTTCCCGTGCTATGCATCCTGCCCAGAATGTACCAGTTCATTCAGGGACCCTGAAACTAGTCTAGACTCCCTTTCTCTGGATCTTTCCCCACTTTCATTCGCCTCAACACAACCCACCAGAGCCAATTCCTAGAATTTCATGTCCATTACAATACACATTCACACAAGGCCTATTTCTCTTTAGTCTCTACAAAATAAAATTCAAACGTTGACATTCCAAAGTCCTCCAAAATCTGGCCCCCTGTGGACTAATTAATTACATAGGGGATTTTAAGCTTTTTATAATTTCCTAGTAATACTTGAATTTCTTCTTTACAGCTAACGTATAGGCTTTCGTTCCTGATTATAGAATAAATTGTTTTAAAATCCAAGTTGCTAACCCATGAAATATGAGACCCAGCCATTACCTGCAAATCCTTTTTTAAGGTCTCCCCTTCCCTCCTAGACCTGGTTAAATTTTGCCATTAATCTTTGTCATTCAAACAATCAAGGTGTTTTCAGACATTCCAACTGTTAGGAGGCCACGTTTCTGCCAGGATTCTTTTCGTACTCGGTAACTAACACCTCCACCAGAGGGCAGAAGAGGGGAGAAGTTGAAATAGTCATTTTTGGCTCTCAGCTATGAGTAAGTTAATAAGGCAAAAAAAGGGTGGCGCTGAAAGTGCAAAAACCGTAGTGAAATTTCAGCATCTAACTCACACCCACACGCGAGGAGACAACCAGCAGAGTAAAACAACCAAAATGAACGTAGCTGCTTCCCTGTCCTACCCTATTTATTCAGTCAGCGACCCCACCCCAGGGCAGCAATCTTGGCTTGGTTTACTGCCCCACTCCAAATGCCCCGAACTGTCCATCTCCTAGGAGGTATTCCAGGAAGTGCTCAGTCAGCGACCTGGGGCGCTAAGGATTTCAGAAAATACTACAAGATGCCAGCATCTCCGTTCTGCCACTTTCTTGCTTGATCTCTTTAACTGTTGTGACCTGGCCTCTTCATCTGTAGAGAAGGAAGGTGTTGGGAAGAAAGATCAAGGAAAAACTTTGTTTGGGGCGCCGGGGGAGCTCAGTCGGTTGAACGTCCAACTTCGGCTCAGGTCATGATCTCATGGTTCATGGGTTCCAGCCCCGCGTCTGGCTCTGTGCTGACAGATCGGAGCCTGGAGCCTGCTTCAGATTCTGTGTCTCCCTCTCTCTGACCCTCCACTGCTCACGCTATCTCTCTCATAAATAAATAAAACATTAAAAAAAACCTAAAAAACACCACCACCACCACAAAACTTAGTTGGGAGCAGTGCCCGGAACAGTGGAAGGGTGTAATAAATATTATTAAAGAAACAATTTTTGTTAGAAGCAAATCTATAAAAAAAAAAACCCACACAAAAAAAACCCTATCTTTTTCCTTCAAAATGTAAAAAGTATAGTGTGGAAAAAGAGAATTCATTTATGAACCAGGCTTTAAAATACATTTTAGCAAATCCACATTTTATTTCAAAAGATGATGCTTCAGACAATGAATTTTCTTTGTGTGCAAAAAGAATGGGGGGGTGGGGTGGAAATCTCTGTTAAGTACTCAGAACAAGGCCTAGCACCTAAGGAAGTTTTATGTCCTGGCTATTATTAAGAATTTAGGGGTGTCTGGCTGGCTGAGTCAGTAGAGTATTCTACTCTTGTCCCGGTTCTAAGTTCTAGCCCCACTTTGGATGTAGAGATTACTTAAAAATAAAATCTGGTTGGGGCGCCTGGGTGGCTTAGTCGGTTAAGCGTCCGACTTTCGCTTAGGTCATGATCTCGCGGTTCGTGGGTTCGAGCCCCGCGTCGGGCTCTGTGCTGACTGCCAGCTCAGAGCCTGGAGCCTGTTTCAGTCTGTGACTCCCTCTCTCTCTGACCCTCCCCTGCTCATGCTGTCTCTATCTCTCTCCTAGAAATAAATAAAACATTAAAAAAAAAAATTAAAAGATCCATAGCCCGGACTGCAATAAAAAGTGAAGCCGAGGAACAGAGGTAGTGTAGGGGGCGAGTGGGGAGCGGCGAGATGCCCAGGAAGGAAGAAGTGCCGAGGGGAAAGGCCAGGAAGGATGGCCGGGTCAGGACGGCCGCTGCCCGCTCCGGCCTCTGCCTCCAGCCGGGGCTGCGAGGGTCCCGCACCCGGGCGAGCCTCCCCCAAATTGGGCGCTGCAGCCCCGACACGTCGGCCCGGCGCCTGGCTTCACAAACAGCACCCGACTACGCGCCGAGGTGGGCATTCCGCCCCACCCTCCCCGGCGGACCCCACCACCCCGCGGCCCCGCGCCCTCATTCCGGCTCCTCCTGTCCAGAGCCCTCCTTCCGGGTCCGGGTCCCGCACCCGGACCTCGGCTTCCTCCGCCCCAGACCCGGGCCCCTCACCCCGGCTCCTGCCCAGGGTCCCCCTTCCAGGCCGGAGTACTGCGCCCGGACCTCAGCTTCCTCCGCCCCAGACCTGGGGCTCTCACCCCGGCTCCTGTCCAGGGCCCTCCTTCAGGGCCCTCCTTCCGGGTCCGGGTCACGCTCCCGGACCTCAGCTTCCTCCACCCCACACCCGGGCCCCTCACCCCGGCTCCTGCCCAGGGCCCCCCTTCCAGCTCCGAGCCCCGCACCCGGCCCAGCTTCCTCCTCCCCAGGCCCGGGCCCCGCAGCCCAGCTCCCCGTTCCTGGCCAAGACCCGTACCTGACCCCGGCGCCTCTCCCCACGCTCGGCTCCGGCCGCGCTGCCCGCCCGCCCCTTACCTCCCAGGCGGCCGCCGCCGCACTCGCTGCGCTGTGGGTGCGGCGAAAGCCGGGTGCGCGGCAGCGAGCAGGTGCGAGGTTGCAGCCGCACGGGCCTCGGGTCGGAAGCGGCCGCTGCTCGCCCCGCTGGGCGCGCCCGGTCGCTTCCGGTGCGCCGAGGTTCTCGAAGGATTTGGTGGTCAGCAAGCCCCGGGTCTCAAACACCATGTCCTCTGGGGGCCACGCCGCGCCTCTCTGTGTTCAGCAGCGAGGGAGAGCTGCGAGCTCAGCCGGAGACCGCCGGGGGGACAGCGCCCGACGCGCTCCAGGCCGCCATCTTACAACTCCAACCTCGCCCCTCCTCCCAACCAACTCTATAAAAAGGAAGGAAAGAAACGCCCGCGTCTAGCTATTGCGCAAGCGCGCCGGAGTCTAGGCGCGCAGTTCCTCCCTCCTCCGGCCCTGGAAAGTCACGCAGCGCATGCGCGCAACTGCTTGGAAACCTTCGCCGGGAGGAGCGCGCCCGGCGCACCCACACGCGCGCATGCGTGCGTTCAGGCACGCGCGGGCCTCCGCCCGGGGAGCCGGCGCCGGCTGCGGGGGTTTGCGCGCGCAGGTCACGTGTCGGTGGCGGGACGCGTCTGGCGCGCGGGTGACGCGCGGGTGTCTGCGGTTGGGCGAGGTGGTTTTGCCGGGCGTTCTGGACCGCGCGGCCAGGCCGCGAGCGTGACCGGGGCTCGGGGTGACCCGGACGAGGCGCCGCGGGGCTGCGAAGAGACAGACGGTCGGGAATCCGGAGTGGAATTGGGAGCCCGGCGCCCCCGCCCTGTCCCCGGAGGGCTGGCCCAGGCGGCACCCTGTCCGGGTCGGGGCGACGTGCCTGGCCGCTGAGGGCACGGGGCGCTGGGACTGCGGAGCGCCGAGCGCCCGCCTCCGTCGTGGATGAGAACGAAACGGACCTGCTCGGACGCCCGGCTGGTGCGTGCTTTCCGCGGCGGGTGCCCTGGAGGCGAAGGAACGTACCCGAATGGGCCGCTCGTGGGGACTCCGCGAAGAGGCGGTCCGCAGACGCGAGGCCAGACTGCGCGACCGGCGCCTCCGTTCCCGCGCTCTCGTCGGAATATCCCCGCGGAGCCCTTGGTGTAGGGGCTCCGGGGAGTGGAGGTTACGGGGCCCTGCGCCCGTCCCTGCCTCGTGGGTCGTGAGACTCGGCCACCGACACGCCGGGAGTCAGGCCCAGGACTAACTATTTAGGAAACAAGCTTCCGAAGAGGAACATTTCCTAGAGCCGTGGTCCTTAACCTTTTTGGTGGGGGAGGGGTGTATGGCTCTTGAGTATTTGAAAACCGAAAGAAGGTTTGTGCGGGTTCGGAGAGAACAAGTTTGCGCCTGATTTCACCCGCCGAGGAGCCCTCCCCTCCCTGAAAGCGCGGCCTTGGACCAACGTCTTAATAAGGACTCCTTAGCCAGCTAGACTGCACACTTGAGGGTTAAGAACGATGGTCCCTCGGGCGCCTGGGTGACTCAGCTTTTTTTTTTTTTTTAATTTTTTTAGCATTTATTCAGTTTTGAGAGACAGAATGAGTGGGGAAGGGGCAGAGAGAGAGGGAGACACAGAATCTGAAACAGGCTGAGCCATCAGCACAGAGCCTGATGTGGGGCTCGAACCCACTAACTGTGAGATCATGACCTGAGCTGAAGTCGGATGCAGACTCAGCTTTTGACTTCAGCTCAGATCACGATCTCCAGCCCTGCCTCCCCCTGCCTCCGGTTCTGTGCTGACAGCTCAGAGCCTGGAGCCTGCTCGGATTCTGTGTCTCCCTCTCTCTCTCCCTCTCTGCCCTACTCCTACTTGCATTGTCTCTCTCAATACACGTTTTTTAAAGAAAAATTTTTTTAAAAAGTGGCCCCTGCGTTTGAAATAAAGCCCGACTTATTCCCTGCCCTTAGGGTGACTTCCCCCTAGGAATCCAAAATGTAGATGTTGCCAGATGTTTGGGGGTCTTCCCCCCCCCCCCCCCCCCCCCCCCCGCCTCGGGGTAGGTTGAAAAAGAAATCCAGCCAGGAGAATGTTGCCTGTCCTTGCGAATTTTGTATGTATAACTAGTCGGAGAAGGTTGACTAATCCTGTATTACTGTGTGGTCATTAATGCCATGCTCTGTAGTGTTTTTGTTTATATTGGTATGAACAGAACTTACAGTACAGCTCCTGGGTGGCGCACGACTTATCAGAGCCACCCATGTGGTTAGAGCCAGAGCCCAGGTCTTACTTCCAGCCTGGCGTCCCTTTCCACAGGCCCCTTCAACAACCATGCAGTACCTGCTTGGGTTAGGGACTCCACAGATGCTTGGTGCCAAGCCGCAGTGGCCACTCATCTGTCCCAGGGCAGCCTTCCTGGCCTTTACTGACTGTCCTAAACTCCCATCACTTAAACCTTCCCGGGCACCTTCTTCCCTGTTCCCTCCCAGCCCCCAGTCCCACCTCGCGTCACCATCCGTAGCACATTATAGGCCCTCAACTAGTTACCAAAAATACAAACCCTTCTTTTTCTTTATTGAGAGAAATATTATCCCAGACTTTTCCTTAGCTCCCTTCTGATCAACAGCTTGTGAATCCTCGTATGTGGTTCTGTCTGTGTGAGGCTCATTCATTCCAAAATGTCTCTAGTGCCTTCTTTAAAAAAAAGAGAGAGAGACACAGTACAAGTGGGGGAGGGCCAGAGAAAGAATCCCAAGCAGGCTCCTTACTACACAAGCAGAGCCTGGCTCAAGGCTCGAACCCACGAAGCAGCAAGACCATGACCTGAGCTGAAACCGAGATTGGGTGCTAAACTGACTGAGCCACCCAGGTGTCCCTAGTGCCTTCCTACAAATTGAACAGTAATTTTTGTTTTTAACATGAAAGTATAGGGGCGCCTGGGTGGCTTAGTCGGTTAAGCGTCCGACTTTCGCTTAGGTTATGATCTCGCGGTTCGTGGGTTTGAGCCCCACGTCGGGCTCTGTGCTGACTGCCAGCTCAGAGCCTGGAGCCTGTTTCAGTCTGTGACTCCCTCTCTCTCTGACCCTCCCCTGCTCATGCTATCTCTCTCTCTCTCTCCTAGAAATAAACATTAAAAAAAAAAAAATAAGTATAGATATTGCTATATAATATCTAGGTTGTTACCACATACGGAACACAGACGGTGGTGGCCTTTCACGTATGTACAGGTGACCCTTGGACAACACAGGCTTGAACCATGTAGGATTTTGTTTTCAATAAACACAGTATAGTATTTTTCTTTTGACTTCCTTTCGTCCAGCTTTATTGCAAGAACACAATGCATAATATATATACAAGCTCTGTCAACAGTTAATTGACTGTGTTTTGAGTAAGACTTCCAGTCAATAGTAGTTAAGTTTTGGGGGAGCCAAGAGTTATACTTGGATTTTTGACTGGGAGGGGCGTCAGTGACCCTACCTTCCATGTTGTTCAGGGATCAGGTATATTTATCGTTGAAATGTAGCTAGTTAAAATCACACCTTTTATTCTGGAAATAATACAAAATTTATCTTGTGAGGCAAAGCAAAATGGTACATTTACTTCTTAATTACATATTGTAGCTTTAGGTGATCGATGCCTTTCTAAGGCACGTAAAAAGGTTTGTGTGTTTAATAGCACTTTAGCTGACTTGCACATTATGTGGTAAAATTCAAGCGCTTACTGAAATGACAGCCTTAAACTGGCTATAACTTGGGAGAATAGAGGCAGTTTGCACGCAGACCTCTACCTCCATTGAATTTGGTTACGTCCATTTAGTGAAGCTCTTTGTGAAATTTGTGAAATAGTTCCCCAAAAGTGTTGGACAATATTTCTGAAATCCCTTTCACTGTGCTTAACCGCTGAGGATTCTTAGGCTTGCCCAGGCGGGGTCATTTTCGTAGGTTCAGTAAATAAACACGTGCACCTGTTGGTTTACCTGCCTCACCTAAGTCAAATACAAGTTCACGCCGTCCTGCTCTCCTGCTAGAGTCCCAGCAACGGACAGGATCCACCATTGGATCGGCTTTGCCACTGCGATCCACTCATTAACATCTTGGACACTTGAAGTCTAGTTTAACCTGGTGAAGAAAAATTGCAAGATAAGACCTGTTGAATTGCAGCTGTGTCCTGGCCTTCAGTTCAGGTAGACTTGAGCTTTGAGATCGGTATCATTCTCTGTTAGGACGTAACAGAAAGCATGAGACAACAGGAAGCCACTCTGCGCCTGGCGTTAAGGAATTCACATAGCTGCTGGACCGTCAGCCTGGCAGTGGGCTGCGGGCGTGGGGTAGGGCTGCAGAGGTCCCCGACTCACAGAAGCTGCCACCTTCTTCGTATCTGCAGTGGCCTATTCGTTTATTTTTAAGGAGGCTTCATGCCCAGTGCAGAGCCCAATGCGGGGGCTTAAACTTCTAACCCTGAGATCGAGGCCTGAGCTGAGATCAAGAGTAAAATGCTTAACTGACTGAGCTACCCAGGTGCCTCTTGGAGTGACCTCTTTATTATTTTTTTTAATTTCAGAGAACATTCAAGTAGGGGAGAGCAGTGTGGGGGGGAGGGGGGGAGGAGAATGCCAAGCAGGCTCCATGCTCAGCACAGAGCCTTCCGTGGGGCTTGATCTCATGACCCCAGGATCATGACCTGAGCTGAAATCAAGAGCCTGATGCTCAACTGACGGAGCCCCCAAGTGCCCCTGGAGTGACCTCTTTAAAGTGACAATTCTTTAAATCTAGAAATGTACTTGCACTTTTGTCTTTTATTTTGAGCCATTTATTGAAGAGAATTTGTGCCCCGTCCTCGAATATTTTTTACCTAAAGAAAAAGGGAAAAACTAGAACAAATGGGTAGATAGCAGTGGCACATGCTGCTTTTCTCATCCCATTCTTCAGTCTCCAGGAGGGTGACTGGGTATTTATAAAATGACATCCATGGTCAAGAGAAGGTAGGTACTAAAGGCAGCAGCATGGAGAATTTGGGGTATTATCACCAGACCACAGAGCATGGAATTCTTTCTTAAATGATTGTGCCCCAAAGTTTCATAGTTCTTAGATGATACACTTTTTAAAATTTTTTTTTAAATGTTTTATTTATTTCTGAAGAGAGACACGGTGTGAGCAGAGGAGGGTCAGAGAGAGAGGGAGATACAGATTCTGAAGCAGCTCCAGGTTCTAAGCTGTCAGCACAGAGCCCGACGTGGGGCTCGAACCCACGAACTGTGAGATCATGACCTGAGCCGAAGTCAGATGCTTAACCGACTGAGCCCCCAGGCGCCCCAGATACACTTTCCCCCAGACTCGCTGAGATCCAGAAATCCATGAGGTGCTGTGTCTACAGCAGGCACTCCCTGAGAGTCTGCTTCCC